CCAAAATGCCCTGCTGATTTTGTGTCATGGCAAAGTTGCATGAAAGTTAGTCTTTGAGTTGTTGGTATATATAACTTTTCCCCTACCCAAGGCAATCCGTCTCTCATTGTGCACACATGTTTGTTTTTCTGGAACCAATCATCTGTTTCCAAACTTTTTCTGAATTCAATCCCAGTTTGGCTGTCCAGTTGTGGTTTTATTTTGGCTTGGGTTCTTGTGGTTACTGGCGCTGCCAGTTGTGACTCTGCCATTATTGGTCTAGAGTCTGTGGTTCGTGCGCTGTTATATTGGGGCATGCGAGATAGTGCATCTGCCAGGAAGTTCTTTCTTCCTGGTAAATGTTTGAGCTTAAATTGGAATTGGTGAAAATGCTGGGACCAGCGGGCTTGTTTGGGATTGAGTTTCCTGGAAGTTTTCAGGGCTTCTAAATTTTTGTGATCAGTCCATACCTGGAAGGGGATTTTGTTGCCTTCCAGGAACTGTCGCCACGTGAGTAATGCCCAACGTATCCCATAAGCCTCCTTCTCCCATACGGGCCAGCGCTGTTCTGTTTCGTGAGTTTCTTAGATGTATATGCACAGGGTTGCAATACTGCATCATCATTTTCTTGTAATAGCACAGCCCCCACTGCCACATCACTTGCATCTGCCTGTATTATGAAGGGTTTGTCCATGTCTGGGTGCCTTAGTACTGGTTCGGCAGAAAAAAGTCTCTTTAGTCTCTCAAACGCTGCTTGGCACTCCATTGTCCATGTTAGTGGCTGGCTAGGTTTTACTGAGGATGTTCCCTTCGTTTTTAGTAAGTTAGTGAGGGCAAGGCTATCTGTGCAAATGAGGGGATGAATTGGCGGTAAAAATTTGCAAAGCCCAGGAAACTTTGTAGTTGCTTTCTTGTGCGGGGTGGTGCCCATTCTATACTGCTCTGACCTTCTCTGGGTCCATTTCAATGCCCTGTGGGGATATGCGATAGCCTAGGTAGTCTATCCTTTCCTGGTGGAATTCGCATTTTGAGAGTTTGGCATATAGGTGAGCGGCTCGCAGCTTCTTTAAAACCGCTCTGACAAGTTTGACGTGTTCTTCTTTTGTTTCGGTAAAGATAAGAATGTCGTCCAAGTAAACAAGGACCCCCTTAAACAGGTGCTCCCTTAGAACGTCATTGATTAGTTGCATAAAGACTGCAGGGCCCCCTTGTAATCCAAATGGCAAGACTTTGAATTGATAGCACCCCATGGGGCAGTTAAATGCAGTCTTCCATTCGTCCCCTTCCTTGATTCTCACGCGATAGTAAGCTTCCCTTAGGTCTAGTTTAGAAAAAAATTTTCCCTTTCGATAGGTGTGACAGCATGTCTTTCATGAGGGGCAGCGGGTATAGGTTGCTTTCACTGATTGTATTCAGGGCCCTATAATCCACGCATAAACGTAAAGAGCCATCCTTCTTCTCTCTAAAAAGGACCGGGGCAGCCACTTTAGGCTTGGCTGGCTCAATGAAACCTCTCTCCAGGTTTTTTTTTATAAATCTTTCCATTTCCTCCTTCTCCTTTGGGCTCATGGAGTATAATCTGGGCTTCGGGAGTTTTGCCCCAGGCTTGAATTCAATGGTACAGTCTGTGGGTCGGTGGGGGGGAAGCTCATTCGCCCTCTCCTCACTGAAGACTTCAGCAAGGTCCCTATATTCCTCTGGTATTTCTGTTAATCTTTTTTCCTCTCCTATGGATGCTTTTTCTATTCTTGATTCTGGTAGCCTCCCTTGGGGTTTTAAGTCCATAGGGTCCCCCTTCGGGAATTTGATTTCTGTCGTCCTCCAATTTACCCAGGGGTTCCATTTTTTCAACCATTCCATCCCTAGAATCATTGGGCATTCCATACCTGGGGTCACCACAAACGTTAAGTCCTCTTCATGGGTGCCCAGGGAGAGATGTATTGGCAAAGTGGCTAGGGTAGCTGGCACCCCCCCTGCTATGGATCCATCTAGCTGGCCAAATGAGATTGGTTGTTCCAGTCTCCTGGATGGGATGCCCAGATTCCCCACTAGTGTTGGGCTAATGAGGCAGCGGGTACAGCCAGAGTCTATTAAGGCTTTCACCTTCACAGCTTCGGGCATGGGGGGGATTAATATAGTCACTGTTTTGAAGATGGGTGTGATGCATCCACTTACCAGGGGTTCGCCCTCCGAGCTGTCATCTGAGGCATCCACCGGCCCTATGGTGTAGGCTGGAGTCCTTTCCCCTTGGTGAGCAGAGGTGGGGGTTTCTGCAATTTCCATCATTCTCATGGCCGTTTCTTTTGGCTTAGCTGAATACTTTCCGGGTTTGTTGATTTGGGATCTGTCTGGGTTGTGCTGGGGGGCCTTTGAGCGGCATTCTACAGCTCGATGCCCTTCTCTTCCGCACTTGAAACATCTCATTTGCTTCTTGGCTGTATCCGATGATTTCACCGGTTGGTGTGTCAGCTCAGGCGGGGGGCGGCTCCATTGTTTTCCTCGGCGGTGCCTCTTCAATATGTCGATCTCTGCTTCCTCTGCCAAGACGTACCATTCCTCAAGTCGATGTGGGTCCCTCGGGGCAGGCAAGCATCATATAGATCATAGTTTAGTCCGTCTTTGAAACGGCCAAGGAGGATGTCTTCTGGCCAATTCAGTTTGCTGGCAATGGCCCGGAATTCTTGTGTATACTCAGCCACTGGGCGTTTGCCCTGCCTCATCGTTGTTATTCTTTCACGGGCTTTGCGATCAGCCAGGGGGTCTTCAAATCGTCTTCTCAAGAGGACATGAAACGGTTGAAGTTACTGAGTTCTGGGGCATTGGAGTCATGCAAGTTCACCACCCAATCTGCAGCTGGTCCATCCAGGGCAGATTGCACGATCCGGATGCGGGCTTTGTCGCTGGGAATATCCTGCCCATATTCCTCCATGTAGCTGAGGACTTGGGTTAGAAAAAACCCCAAGCGTGTTGGCTCCCCTTTGAATTTCACTTCCAACGGTGGACGTCTTGGAATGGATCGGTGCCTCTGTTGTGGGTGGTAGTGCCTTCCGTCCAGATTGCCATCTGTGGTCCGGTAGGGGGTGGGAGCTCCTGGATCAGTAGATGTCCCTGGGGTTGCAGGTTCCACGTCCCCCTCGGTGTCTCTCCCTTTGCGGCTCCAGGAACTGGGGCAGCCGTAGGGTTCAGTATTCTCCTCTCCTAGGGAGCTGAGAGTTCTCTTCATCAGGTCAATAGCTTTCTCTAGGATCCAGTCTGAGTACGGTGCCCAGCTTCCTCCCTCTTCACTTGCGTGCAGGGATTTCTCCATCTCCTGCTTCCATTCTGGTTGCTTGGTCCCCCGTCTCAGGGTCACCTTTCTTGATTCCTTTCCCCACTCACTTTTCTTTCCAACGCCCATCGACCAGCGAGGCTTGTGGTCCTGTGTCTCCACCACTTCTTCTCCTGAGGAATCTGGCCTCTCGGATCCCAACATCTGGCAAGGTTCCAACTGGGTCAGCGGCTCTCTTTCCAGGGAGTTTTCCCCCTCTCTTGCTCCATTGTCTGACATGGTAAATTTTTGCAAAATCCCCCGGCAAGGGTCTTCCTTCCAGGTGGATTAATTTTGCAAGTCCTGTCTAATGTAAGGACCACCCCACTTTGCATCTTAAGAAGACAGAACTCTTGGAATAATTCTTCCAACAGGAATCCTTTATTAAGAGAAAATGGTTGCAGGCATGCTAGACAGGACTTGGGGTCCAAGCTCTCCCATTCAAGGTTTTAAGGGGTTCCCCAGTAGTCCCACCCAATCAACCCCCCTTCCAGTGATAGTTTCAAGTATCCCAATTTCACCCCGTTTCTTCTTTCTTCCGTCTGGATGGAGACTTCAGATAACTACATGAAAGGCAAATACTCTTCTTTGTTAATGCTAATGTTCTCTGGTGCTAACACTTTGAGGTTACAATAGGTTACAATAAACACACATTCAGCATTCAGCTCTTTGAAGTCTACTGAAGGAAGTGAGGGCCATAAAACCCCTTTGTTCTCCCCCTTCTCTCCCTCTTATGGCAGAATCCAAAGAAGGCAGAATTGGGAGTTTCTATATTTGATAATTAAAGATGAAATATGATTGGATTCTGACAATAATGGTTGGAAACTAATCAAGGAGAGAAGCAACCTAGAACTAAGGAGAAACTTCCTGACAGTGAGAACAATTAATCAGGGGAACAGCTTGCCTCCAGAAGCAGTAAATGCTCCAACACTGGAAGTTTTTAAGAAGAGACTGGACAGCCATTTGTCTGAAATGGTGTAGGGTTTCCTGCCTGAGCAGGGGGTTGGACTAGATGACCTCCAAGGTCCCTTCCAACTCTGTTATTCTATTCTATTCTATTCTATTCTATTCTATTCTATTCTATTCTATTCCTTATTCTATTCTATTCCTTATTCTATTCTACTGTTCTGTTGCGTTCTATTCTAATTTCTCTTCTCTTCTAATTTCTATTCTATTCCATATTTTCTATGCCATATTTTCTATTCCATATTTTCTACTCTCCATTCTATTCTATATTCTATTCTATTCTATTCTATTCTATTCTATTCTATTCTATTCTATTCTATTCTATTCTATTCTACTCTACTCTATGTTCTATTCTATTCTATTCTATTCTATAGTCTAATTCTGAATTCTAATCTACTTTCTGTTCTATATTTTCTTCTAATTCTGAATTCTATTCTATTTTCTGTTCTATTCTATATTCTCTTCTCTTCTAATTTTGAATTCTATTCTATTCTACTCCATTCTTATTTTTATTCTATTCTATATTCTGTTCTCTTTATTCTACTCTCTACTGTGTTCTATATTCTGTTTTGTTCTATTCTCTTCTAAGTCTGAATTCTATCCTATCCCATCCCCAAATGGATTCATGTATCTTTCAAATCCCTGCGATGTCTCTTGGCCCCAAATGCCCTCCGACGAATCCATTGAGACTCACAGGGACCTAAGGAGCGGGTCTCACTGCAAACTCCAAGAAGGACAAGAGACCCCATCAGGCTGAGCATTTATTGTGGATCATCCAGGAACCATTTCGGAGAAATAAATAACAAGAGGGGGAGAGGGTTTCAGGTCATTAAAGCAGTCTTGGTTCCTAGGAAAGTCGGTTCAAGCTCTCCTCGGCCCCGGGACGGTGGAGGTAGAGCAGTTCCAGGCTGACGGCCTCGGTTTCCCCATCGGCCCGCGCGCGCTTCTGCCTCGTGCGGCACAAGGCGTAGGAGAGGCAGCAGGCCACGGGGCCCAGGGCCAGCAGCACGGCCAGGGCCAGGAGGAACACAGGCCTGTCTCCCAGGGCAAAAGCCCCTCCCCGGGGCAGGTAGGAGAAGGAGGGGGAGGGCAGGCAGGTGTGGGAGCGCTCCTCGTAGGTGCTGTGGGACGGACAGGCACTGCAATTGCGGGCCGACCCCGCCAGGCAGGTGTAGCAGGAGGGGTCGCAGGCCGAGCAGGCCTGGATGGCGCGCTGGGTCCCGTTGGGGTCGAGAGCCCGGCGGGACAGGCGGTAGTACCTGGGCGGGCAGTAGGAGAGGCAGAGGTGCCGGACCGCGAAGAGCGGGCTGGGGCATTCTGGGAAAAAAACAACAAGAACAACAACAAGGAGCCCTGTGAGGCAGGCCAGCCAGCCACAGGGAGACGAGGCAAGGATTGGTCAATGTGATCAACAAATGAATAAAATTAAGAAGCCAGAAGGCACGGCTGTGGGTGATGGGTATCCTAAGGCCGGGCGATTGACTGGGCTGGGTTTTATTTTTAAAATACAGGTAGTCCCCGGCTTAGTTCATGTAGTGACCGTTCACTAGTTCATTTAGTGACCGCGGCATTGAGTAGTGTCTGACAGTGAGAACAATTAACCAGTGGAACAACCTGCCACCAGAAGCGGTGAATGCTCCAACACTGGAAGTTTTTAAGAAGAGACTGGACAGCCACTTGTCCGAAATGGTGTAGGGTTTCCTGCCCAGGCAGGGGGTTGGACTAGATGACCTCCAAGGTCCCTTCCAACTTTACTACTATTATATTATAACCTTTATTGTCATTTTTTTTTTTTACTGTGGGCACAACGGCACACATCCAAAACGAAATTTAGTTGCCCACTCTCAAAGTGAGACACATCCCAAGTGACTTGGGATCGTTTTTCACACTTAACGACCGTCGGAGCAGCCCACCCCCCCCCCGGGGTCACGGGATCGAAATTCAGGCGCTTGGCAGCCGGCTCGTATTTACGACGGTCGCGGTGTCTCCCGTGTGTCTGTGTGCGCGTGTGTTTGTCGGGTGATCCGTTCTGGCGACCTTCCAAAAAGCAGAGTCAACGGGGAAGCTGGATTCGCTTAACGACCGGGTTACTAAACCTAACGAGTGTGGCGATTCGCTTAACGACCGTGGCAGGAAAGGAGGCAAAATGGGGGGGGGGAAACTCGCTCGAACAAATACTTCGCTTAGCGACGGAAAGTTTGGGCTCCATTGTGCTCGTCCGTCGAGGACTGCCCGTACGACGCCCTCAAGGACGAAAAGGGGCAGGCAAGATCAATCTGTTGACGTACGGATAGTCCTCGGCTTAACGGCCACGACGGAGAGCGGGATTTCCGCTACTGAGCACGGGGTGGTTAGAAGCAGCCCCCGTCTGATTTGATGGCCTTTTGGGCCGAGGCTGTCAGGCGAATCTCTGCCGGCGTTAAGTGAACCACGTGGTTGTTAAGCAAAGCCAGCTTCCCCCATGGAGGTTGCTTGTCGGAAGCTGGCAAATGGGGGGGTCAGGTGACACACAGACACACAGACACACCCCGGGAGGTTGCAACTGTCATAAGCGCGTGGCAGTTATGGCCAAGTCCTGGGGTTTTGATCATGTGACCAGGGGGGAAGCTGCGGGGGTGCCGGGTCCCTTTTTTTTTTTTTTTAGAGTTATTCTAACTTCAGTCATTAATGGTTGTAATTGGAGTAGGTATCTGTCTGTCTATGTTTATTCATCCATCCATCTTTCCTTCTCTAATCTCTGTATCACTATCACTCTATCCATCTATCTGTCTGTCTGTCTGTCTGTCTGTCTGTCTATATCTATCTATCTATCCATCATCTATCTATCTATATCAGCGGTTCTCAAACTGGGGGTCGGGACCCCATTTGGGGTTGAACGACCACTTAAGGGGTCGCCAAACAACGCAGTCCGCCATTTTTTCCCCCCTTTTCCTTAGCTGTGCTACTCCCTTTTATTCTATTGGCTTTTGAAAGCCAATAGAAGAGACTCTCTTGAATAGAGTTTAATTCTATTGGCTTTCAAAAGCCAATAGGAATTGTCCAGGCTGTCTCTGCCCTGCTGAGCCCGCCCAAAGTCCCATTCTGCAAACGGTGCTGCACCAGTTGACTAGTCCTCGACTTACGACCGGTTGAGTAGTCCTCGACTTACGACCGGTTGGGGGTCGCGGCATTAAAAAGGTTGAGAACCACTGATCTATATCTATCTATCTATCTATCTATCTATCTATCTATCTATCTATCTATCTATCTATCTATCTATCTATCTACCTACCTACCTACCTACCTACCTACCTACCTAACTACCTACCTACCTACCTATCATCCATCTATCTATTTGTCTGTCTATCTATATCTATCTTCTATCTATATCTATCATCTATCTATACATCCATCTCTGTCTCCCTATCATCTATTATCTATCTATCTATCTATCTATCTATTCATCATCTATCTATCTATCTATCTATCTATCTATCTATCTATCTATCTATCTATCTATCTATCTATGTCTGTCTATCTATATCTGTCTGTCTGTCTATCTATCTGTCTATTTGTCTGTCTGTCTGTCTGTCTATCTGTCTGTCTGTCTATCTGTCTGTCTATCTATCTATCTATCTATCTATCTATCTATCTATCTATTTATCATCTATCTATCTTGTCTGTTTTTCTATCAATCATCCATCTTTTCCCCCTAACCCTAACTTCAAACAGTCATTAATGTCTGTTTGTCTATCTATTTACCAACAACCTACCTACCCTTATCAATCCATCATCTATCTATCTGTCTGTCCATCTGTCTATGTCTATTCATCCAGCCATCTTTCCCTCTCTAATCTCTATATCACTATCACTCTATATCAGGGGTGTCAAACTCGCAACATCACGTGATGTGCCGCGACGTATTGCGACTTTTTTTCCATTGCCAGCAATGGGGTGGGTGTGGTTTCAGCATGTCGCATCGGCAGCTTGACACCCTTGCTGTCTATCTATCATCTATCTGTCTGTCTGTCTGTCTGTCTGTCTGTCTGTCTGTCTGTCTGTCTATCTCAGTGGTTCTCAACCTTTTTAATGCCGCGACCCCCCAACCGGTCGTAAGTCGAGGACTACTCAACCGGTCGTAAGTCGAGGACTACTCAACTGGTGCAGCACCGTTTGTAGAATGGGACTTTTGGCGGGCTCAGCAGGGCGGAGACAGCCTGGACAATTCCTATTAGCTTTTGAAAGCCAATAGCATTAGACTCTATTCAAGAGAGTCTCTTCTATTGGCTTTCAAAAGCCAATAGAATAAAAGGGAGTAGCACAGCTAAGGAAAAAGGGGGGGAAAATGGCGGACCGCGTTGTTTGGCGACCCCCGTGAAATGGTCGTTCGACCCCAAATGGGGTCCCGACCCACAGGTGGAGAACCACTGATCTATCTAACCTACCTACCTACCTACCTACCCAATTATATTTGTCTCTCTAATCTGTCTATCTATCTCTATCTCTATCTGTATCTCTAATATTTCTCTCTAATCTACCTACCTACCTACCTATCTACCTAGATATATCAATATATATCATCTATCCCTCCCTCTCTTTGTCCCTCCCTCCATCTATGTCTTTCTTTCTGTCTCTCATTTAGAACCCACCCATCTCCCTCACAGAAAGACTCTGGGCAGCGTGCAAATAAAAAGTTAAAAACATGCAACTGCTCTCTGGTGTCAGGGAGTTCCACAGGCTCAGCGGCCGTCAAACACGACGCGTGGCCATCTGAGCGACGTGCCCAAGACAAAGGCCGACAGAAGGGAATATTTCGAACTCGGGGCCGAAGGGCTGGGGTCCTCCGTTTTCTTGCAGACGTCTCGTGACCCAGCTCGGTGACATCATCAGAATCCGTGCTCGGAGGCAGTGGAGATTGGCCTCTGCTTATAGACAAGGGGCTCGCCCTGTCAGTGCTAGCGGAGTGTCTTTGGGAGGGGGGGATCCCTTGATTGCACCCCGCCCCCCACAACTCACCCTGGCATGTCCCGTCGCGGTTCCGCCGGACGCACTGGGCCACCACGGGGGGAGCTGCCGGCCGCGCTGTCATGTCTTCCTCAGAGCCGTAGAGTTTTAACACAAAGTGCCGGAGGAGACCTTCGGACGGAGGCAGAGAAGAAAAGGGGGGGGTGAGGCTCCAGAAAGACGGGAGGGGGACACCACAAAAGCACCGCTGACACGGGTGCGAAGGCCGGCAAGGTAGGAGGTGGGCTCTGTGGGGGGGGGAGGGAGGCACAGAGAAATCTACACGCACGACAATACACAGGTGGTCCTCGACCTGCGGCCACGGTTCAGCCCAGTTTCTGTTGCTAAGCGAGGCAGCTGCCCCCGTTTTACGACCTTTCGGGCCACAGTTGTTAAACGAATCACTGCAGTGGTTCGGCTGGTGCAGGAGTCTTCAAACTCGGCCCTTTGATGACTTGTGGACTTCAACTCCCAGAATTCCTCAGCCAGCAATCAAACTCGGCCCTTTGATGACTTGTGGACTTCAACTCCCAGAATTCCTCAGCCAGCGTTGCTGGCTGAGGAATTCTGGGAGTTGAAGTCCATAAGTCATCAAAGGGCCGAGTTTGAAGACCCCTGAGCCAGGAGCACGGCGATTAAGTCAGTCTCACTTGGCTTGTCTTCTTTTTCTGTCTTTCTCTTTCTCTCTTTCTGCCCCCGTCTCTTTCTGTCTGTTTTTTCTTTCTCTCTTCCTATCTCTCCCTCCCTTTTTCTTTTTCTTTTTGTCTCTATCCCTTTCTCTTTTTCTTTGTCTCTCTCTGTGTCTTTGTTTCTCTCTCTCTCTCTCCCTCTTTCTCTCCTTCTGCCTCGGTGACTCTCTTTCTCGCTTTCTCTTTTTTCTCTCTTTCTCTCTAAAGAGCTATCAGAGCTTCATCTAAAAACGTGTCCTATCTTAATCAGGATCAAACCAACCAACTTTACCTTCCTTCCTTTTACTTCTGACAAGGTTCTTTAACTGCCACCCGGCGTGGCACCTGCGGGAATTCCTTGTATAAATGGGGTACAGCCCCCTGCACCCCTCAGTCTGACTGCAGAGTCTCACATCAAATTGTAGATCACAACGCGACCGGCTAAGGGCTTATGCCAGCCCTGGAACTGATCTTTTTTCAGATAAAAAAATGCTGCATTTCAATGGTTTAGATGCCCTAGACCAGGGGTCTTCAAACTTGGTCCTTTTTATGACTTGTGGACTTCAACTCCCAGAATTCCCAGGCCGGCAACTACACAACTTAAATTTGTCAAGGCTGCGAAACAGCACATTGGAAACAGCTGGATCAATCAGAACAGAGCCGGAAGGGACCTTGGAGGTCATTTAGCCCAACCCCCTGCCCAAGGAGACCGTATAGGATTTCAGACAAACAGCTGTTCAATCTCTGTTTGAGAACTCTCCAGCGATGGAGCAGCCACCACTTCTGGTGGCCGGCTGTTCCACTGGTTAATTCTCTTCCCTGTCGGGAAGTTTCTCCTTAGTTCCAGGTTGCTTCTCTCTTTGGTCAGTTTCCTTGTCCTGCCCTCTGGTGCTTTGGAAAATAAGTTGACCCCCTCCTCTTCTTTGTGGCAGCCCCTCAGATACTGGAACGCTGCTACCATGTCTCTGCTATTTCTTCTTTTCTCTAGACTAGTGAAACCTAAGTCCTGCAGCCGTTCTTCGTATGTTTTAGCCTCCAGGCCTTTTATCTCCAGAAATAGAATAGAATAGAGCTGGAAGGGACCTTGGAGATCTTCTAGTCCAGCCCCCTGCTTGAGCAGGAGAACCTATACCATCTCAGACTTCTTAAAAGTCTCCAGTGATGGAGCACCCATGATTTCTGGAGGCAGGTAGTTCCACTGGCTAATTGTTCTAACTGTCAGGAACTTTCTCCTTAATTCCAGGTTGCTTCTCTCTTTGATCAGTTTCCAACCATTGTTTCTCATCCTGCCCTCTGGTGGCTTTGGAGAATACATTGACACACAGACACACACCCCCTTCTTTGTGGTAGCCCCTCAAATACTGGAACGCTGCTATCATGTCCCCCCCCCATCCTTCTTTTCTCTAGACTGGCCGTTCCCAAATCCCGTTCTTCGTACGTTTTAGCCTCCAGGCCTTCGACCATCTTAGTCGCTCTTCTCTGCCCTTTTTCCAAACTCTCAACATCTTTTTTGTGATACGGTGACCAAAACCGTATACAGGTGTTCCAGGTGTGGCCTGAGTAGGGCTTTATAAAGCGGGACTAAGACTTCGCGTGATTTTAATTCTATACCTCTCTTTACGCAACCCAGGGTTGTGTTGGCTTTTTCAGTAAGTCAATAAGAAGCCAGCAGACTTTTATCCAAACTGGGATCGGCTGCGTGATCTACCTCTGTTATACACGTCGCCCTTGTTTTCCAGCAGGAGGGTCCAGACACCCCGGGGGTCTTCATCCCAGTAATGTGTCGACATGAAATCCCAGTCCTTGTAGCCGTCCCTGCTGGTGTCGTAGGGCCTAGCAGTGAGCAAAACATGACAGTTAACATCACATCTGCTCCCTCCGTCCCCCCCTGCGAGTTGTGAGAATGTTTGGAGACTGAATTTACTACACTGAATTGACTAGAGATGGAGATTAAGAAACAAAGCAGCTAACGAGTAGGCTTTTAACGAAGAGAAGGATGAGGGGGGACAGGATAGCAGCCTTCCAATATCTCAGGGGCTGCCCCAAAGAAGAGGCAGTCAAGCTATTCTCCAAAGCCCCTGAAGGCAGGACAAGAAGCAACGGGTGGAAACTAATCAAGGAGAGAGATATACCTATTGGGTATCTTTGTGGATTTAAATGACAAAGAAACTAATGTTGAATTTATTAACTGCAGCAAGGTAACGGGTGGAAACTAATCAAGGAGAAATACCTATTGGGTATTTTTGTGGATTTAAATGACAAAGAAACTACTTTAATGTTGAATTTATTAACTGCAGCAAGGTTATTAGTAGGCTCGTATTGGAAGAAGGACTCGTTGCCTACTTTAGAAGAATGGATATTTAAAGTTTCTAACTTTGCAGAAATGGCAAAAATTTCTGCTTATTAGAAGGATCATACGCAAGAAAGATATATTATTGTATGGAGGAGATGGATAGATTATATTCAGAAAAAATATGGGACTATAAAGTTTCATTTATTTTATGAGTAAATTTTATTGTAACTGTTGTAGAGATTTGTTTATATGACTTAATTTAAGGGGAGTTAAAGGTTAAGTATGATGTTATTTTTTTCTTTTTTTTCTTTTTTCTTCCTTTTTTTTCTTTTTTTTATTATTGTTAACTTTCTTATTAATAACCCTGTACTCTGCTCTGGGAAGCGAGGGGGGGAGGGTTGAGGGTGGGTGGGTGGGTGAGTGGGTGGGTAATGATAATATAGTCATGGCAAACGCTTGGGCATTTCCCCTATGCTGCGTTCATGTGTGTGAGAGGGATGAGAGGGGAGGAAGGAGTAGGGAGGAAGTAGGATGGTTAGAGGAGAAGGGGAGGGGAAGAGAGTAGGAGGGGAGGAGAGAAAGAGGAGGGAAGTAGGAAAGGATTAGAGAGGGTGGACGCAGCCTGGGGGGAATGGGCAGGCGGTACCAATGGTTAGGAATTTATTTTAATTGAATTGTATTTTGTAGGAATAAATGGAAAATAAAAACTTTTTAATAAATAAAAAAAAAGAAGAAGCAACGGATGGAAACTCATCAAGGAGAGAAGCAACCTAGAACTAAGGAGAAACTTCCTGACAGTGAGAACAATTAATCAGTGGAACAACCTGCCTCCAGAAGCAGTAAATGCTCCAACACTGGAAGTTTTTAAGAAGAGACTGGACAGCCATTTGTCCGAAATGGTGTAGGGTTTCCTGCCTGAGCAGGGGGTTGGACTAGATAACCTCCAAGGTACCTTCCAACTTTATCATCATCATCATCATCATCATCATCATTATTATTATTATTATAGGCTGGCTTGGTTGCTCAACAGTGAGAAACTGGTGAAGCGGGCATAGCAACATCTGCATTTTCGGCATCGCATAAGAAAAGCACATCTTCCTTCCCCTGTCCTGACCACTTTCTACAAGGGGAGGATGGAGAGCATCCCGTCATAGAGCATCACAGTCTGGTTTGGAGGCATCCCTGCTTCAGACAGGAAGGCGGGGCAGAGAGTGGTGAGGACGGCCAAAAAGATCATTGGCAGCTCCCTCCCTCCCATCCAGGACATAGCACAGAAGCGCTGCTTGAGCAGAGTCCGTACGATTATCTGGGACACTAGACATCCTCTTAAATATATAATAGTAGTAAAGTTGGAAGAGACCTTGGAGGTCATCTAGTCCAACCCCCTGCTCAGGCAGGAAACCCTAGACCATTTCGGACAAATGGCTGTCCAGTCTCTTCTTAAAAACTTCCAGTGTGGGAGCATTCACCGCTTCTGGAGGCAAGGAGTTCCACGGGTTAATTGTTCTAACTGTCAGGAAGTTTCTCCTTAGTTCTAGGTTGCTTCTCTCCTTGATGAGTTTCCACCCGTTGCTTCTTGTCCTGCTTTCAGGAGAATAGCTTGACTCCCTCTTCTTTGGGGCAGCCCCTGAGATACTGGAACGCTGCTATCATGTCCCCCCTTGTCCTTCACTTCGTTAAATTGGACATGCCCAATTCCAGCAACCGTTCCTTATATGGTTATATATATATTCGGTTATATAACTGAACCTTATAGGTTCCTTCACAACCTATTTTCCTTGTTCCCTTCCAGGGGCGGGGGGCTTCGTGGTATCCGTAGCAGAACATCCAGATTCAGCCATAGTTTCATTCCATACCGCATTAACCTTGCAAACTCTCAAGCTTCCTCCTTCCATTATATATTCAAGATGGACAGTATTTAATATTTATTTGCTATGTATATGTAGGGGGGTGGGTCTATACATATGTTGTATATAGTATGTTTTAGGTGTGAGTCATGTATGTGTTTCACTTTGAGAGCGGGCTACTCAATTTCATTTTTGATGTGTGCCTTTGTGCCCACAGTAAAAAAAAAAAATGACAATAAAGGTTATCTTATCTCAGTGGTGGCGAACCTATGGCACAGGTGCCAGAGGCGGCACTCAGAGCCCTCTCTGTGGGCACGCGCGCCGTCGCCCCAGTCCTGGGCCTTCGGCTGGGTTTTATAAAACCTTTTTGCTTTAGGCCTCCGCCGCCATGTGCAAAAAAAAAAAAAAAGATTCAGTCAATCAGTCAACTTCAACTTCTCACAGGAAAAAAAAAGATCTTGCAAAGTTAGAATTGATTGATTGAACTTTTTAGTCCCACCCAGTCTGCCATTTCCACTGCAGCCATGCCCACCCAATAGGCCACACCCACTCAATGGGCTACACCCACCTGGCACTCGAGGATGCATAAGTGGGTTTTGGATTGCAGTTTGGGCACTCGGTCTCTAAAAGGTTCGCCACCACTGTCTTATCTCATCTTATCTTATTTGACCTTGGATGATCTGTTTGTAACGTTTGGGATGATTTGGGGTGGGCAAAAGGCCCTGGCAAATTTCCCGCGACCAGTGGATCACCATAACAGTCTGTTAACAAGAGAATTTTGAAACGTTAATTTTGTTTTCGTTTGACTAATATTGTTTTTTTTTTCCTGTTAACTACTTGGTCATTAATGTAATATATCGATGGCAGGCCAACGACTTGCCAATCGATTGCGTCGTTTAAAACTTTGGGGAGGGCTTGTTTTGCAACTAATTTTGTAGTAATATATTAATCCGTGTTCAGCTCGAGGAATAATATCTGTATGATGTCTTTGTTTATGCTTTCATGGTTCTGGGTTTTGTGGGGGGGGTATTTGGGGATATATATTTTTTTGAGTATTGCATTTTGTACTTTACCTTGGGAAGGGAGCTTGGACATTTGTTTTGTGCTTTCAGCAAGTCTTCTGATTGCTAGTTGGTGTTCATGGATGCGCTCTGCTAGTTTTGGAAGATAGAATAATGGGGCGGGAAGGGACCTTGGAGGTCTTCTAGTCCAACCCCTTGCTCAGGCAGGAGACCCTATACCAGGGGTAGGCAACCTTGGCTCTTTTATGACTGGTGGACTTCAACTCCCAGAATTCCTGAGCCAGCCATGCTGAGGGGAAAGAGAGAGGTTTCCAAGCTGAGCCAGGCTGGCTGAGGAATTCTGGGAGTTGAAGTCCGCGAGTCATGAAGGGGCCATAGTTCCCCCATGCTGGCTGAGGAATTCTGGGAGTTGAAGTCCAGGAGTCATGAGGGGGCCATAGTTCCCCCATGCTGGCTCAGGAATTCTGGGAGTTGAAGTCCAAGAGTCATGAAGGGGCCATAGTTCCCCCATGCTGGCTCAGGAATTCTGGGAGTTGAAGTCCACAAGACATGAAGGGGCCATAGTTCCCCCATGCTGTCTCAGGAATTCTGGGAGTTGAAGTCCACGAGTCATGAGGGGGCCATAGTTCCCCCCTGCTGGCTCAGGAATTCTGGGAGTTGAAGTCCACGAGTCATAAAAGAGCCAAGGTTGCCTACCCCTGTCCGAGACTATGCCAGACAAATGGCTGTCCAGTCTCTTCCTAAAAAGCTCCAATGATGGAGCACCCACAACTTCTGGTGGCAAGCTGTTCCACTGCTTAATCTTTCTCACGGTCAGGAAGTTTCTCCTTAATTCCAGGTTGCTTCTCTCCTTGATCAGTTTCCACCCGTTGTTTCTCGTCCTGCCCTCTGGTGCTTTGGAGAATAATTTGACCCCCTCCTCTTCTTTGTGGCAGCCCCTCAAATACTGGAATGCTGCTATCCTGTCCCCCCCCCCGTCCTTCTTTTCTCTAGCCTGGCCTTTCCCAGTTCCTGCAACCATCCTTTGTGTGTTTTAGCCTCCATTCCCCCCCCCCCATGACCTCAGGACCCTGTAGCCATTATAAACAGACGCCAGTTACCCTGGTGCCAGTGGGCTGGGGGATTCTGGGGCTGGCAGTCTCGGGGGGGGGGGGTGAAGAGAGGCTTCCACGAACACCCGGGTGGGTGGGTGGGTGGGAGGGGACACGCTCACCTGACGTCCACCAGGGTGGAGGTGGTTCCCCTGGGGCTGGTCAGCGAGATGGCCAGATCCCCCCTCCGGCTGTAGGTGAGCCACAGTTGCACCTGGACGTGCTCCAGAGACCGCATGCCTCTGTTTCCCCTCTGGAAGCAGGGGGAGGACGAGACGTTCTCGGAGACGGACAGCCGGGAGCCGATGGCCCTGCCGGAAGACGGGGAAAGGGGGAAGGGGGCTCCGGCTTCAATAAAGGTGGTCCTCGCTTTACGACCAGAAGGGAGCCCCCAAAGCACCTGTGGCCAAGCGAGGTGGTTGCTGAGTGGATTTGGCCCCGTTTTTCACGATCTCCCTCGCCGCTGTCGTTAAGGGAATCAACGGCAGTTGTGAAGTTGGTCCACCCGGTCGTTAAGCGAATCCGGCTTCCCCCACTGACTTTGCTTGTCAGAACGTCACCAAAGGGGATCACGTGACACACACCCCCCCCAGAATATGACACAGTTGCTCAGCAGCCAAATTTTGATCATGTGACCATGGGGACGATGCGTAGCTCCTAACTGAAAAATGGTCGTAAGTCCTATTTCTGAGTACCAGCAAGAGAGATACGGAGGGAGAGAAAGAGAGAGAAGGGGAGAGAGAGATTTGGAGGGAGGGAGGGAGAGATATATGGGGAGGGAGAGAGAGAAGAGACATACGGAAGGAGAGAGAGGTATGGAGGGAGGGGGCGAGAGATACGGGGACGGTAGAAAGAGAAGGAGAGAGAGAGATGGAGGGAGCGGTACAGAGGGAGAAAGAGATGGGGGAGATAGAAAGAGAAAGAGAGATACAGAGGGAGGGAGAAAGAGATACGGGAGACGGGTGAGGTAGAGAGAAAAGAAGAGAGACATACGGAGGGAGGGAGAGAGGTATGGAGGGAGGGAGAGAGAGATACGGGGAGGTAGAGAGATAGGGAGGAAGGAAGGGGGAGAGAGACGGGGAGAGAGATACAGAGAAGGAGAGAAAGATATGGAGAGATATGGAGGAAGGAAGGGAGAGAGATACGGGGAGAGAGATACAGAGAAGGAGAGAAAGATATGGAGAGATATGGAGGAAGGAAGGGAGAGAGATATGGGGAGAGAGATACAGAGAAGGAGAGAAAGATATGGAGAGATATGGGGGGAAGGAGAGAGAAGGAGAGATACGGAGGGAGATATGGAGGGAGGGAGAGGTACTGAGAGAGAGAGAGAGATGGGGGAGGTAGAGAGAAAGAAGGAGAGAGAGATACAGAGGGAGGGAGGGAGGGAGAGAGATACAAGGGAGGTAGAGAGAGATGGAGGAAGGGAGAGGTACAGAGGGAGAGATACGGGGTGGTGGAGGGAGAGAGAAAAGAAAAGAGACATATGGAGGGAGGGAGGTATGGAGGGAGGGAGAGAGAGATAGGGGGAGGTAGAGAGATAGGGAGGAAGGAAGGGAGAGAGATACGGGGAGAGAGATACAGAGAAGGAGAGAAAGATATGGAGAGATATGGGGGGAAGGAGAGAGAAGGAGAGAGAACTACAGAGGGAGATATGGAGGGAGGGAGAGGTACTGAGAGAGAGAGAGATGGGGGAGGTAGAGAGAAAGAAGGAGAGAGAGATACAGAGGGAGGGAGGGAGAGAGATACAAGGGAGGTAGAGAGAGATGGAGGAAGGGAGAGGTACAGAGGGCGAGATACGGGGAGGTAGAGGGAGAGAGAAGAAAAGAGACATACGGAGGGAGGGAGAGAGATACGGAGGGAGGGAGGGAGATACAGGGGAGGTAGAGAAAGGGAGGAAGGGAGAGAGAGAGATACGGAGGGAGGGAGAGAGATATGGGGGAGGTAGAGAGAAAGAGATATGGGGAGAGAGATACGGAGAAGGAGAGATATGGAGAGAGAGAGATATGGGGGAAGTAGAGGGAGAGAGGAGAGAGAGAGAAAGGGAGGGAGGGAGATCCAGAGGGAGAAAGAGAGAGAGTCTTCCAATACTCTTACATTGGCTGGGAGACCACCTGAAGGAAGCACTTCCGCTGAGGCCAGCTCCTCTGCCACCGCCTGGCCATCTCCACCAAGGCCCCGCCGTCCAGGAGCCCGTAGCCGTAGTAGTGGCTGACTGGAAGGAGAAGGACCAGCTCAGGGAAGACCCTCCCGGCCTCCCGACACCCTCCCAGCCCCCTGGCCCCCCAACAGCCCTCCTGCCGCCCAGAGCCACGGGCTCTTTCCCCGAAGGAGGAGCGGCGGCAGAATGGCCCTGGGGATGCTGAGGAACGAGGGCTCTGCACAACAGCAGCCGGCCTGCAGACCGTCCTCAACTTATGACCATAACTGAGCCTGGCAGTTACGGTCGTTAAGTCTTGGAGGGGGGGGCTAAAGAGTCAAGAGGGCAGCCCCCACGGGGCCCTGGAAGCTCTGCCTGCTTTTATCTATTTTATTTGCTCATAAAATGTAGAGGCCACCCGTCTTATCACAAGGTGAGAAGTGAATTGTACAGATAGAGCTTCAACTTATTTGCTCGTTCGTTCATTCATTCAATCAATCAATCAATCAATTTCTATATCCACCCCTCTCAGTCAATGATCCTGGGAGGTTTACAATGAAAAAAGATATGTGACACGCAGTCCTCGACTTACGACAGTTCAGTGACCGTTCGAAGGTTACAACAGCACTTTCCCTTTCTCTCCCTCCCTCCTTCCATCTCTCTTTCTCTCTCCGTCTCTCGCTTTCTCTCTCTCTCCCTCCCTCCATCTCTCCTTCTCTTTCCTTCTTTCTCTCCCTCTCTCCCTCTTTCTCTCCTTCTCTCTTTCACTCTAGCCCTGTATCTATCTCTTTCTCTCACTCCTCCCTCCATATCTCTCCTTCTCTCTCTCCCTCCATCACATTTTCTCCTTCTCCCTTTCACTCTACTCCCGTATCTCCTTCTTTCCTTCATCTCTCTCCTTCTTTCTCTCTCCCTCCATCATTCTCTCCTTCTCTCTCCCTCCCTCCATCACTTTCTCTCCCTTTCACTCTACCCCTATATCTTTCTCTCCTTCTCTCTCTCCCTCCATCTCTCCTTCTTTCCTTCTTTCTCTCCCTCTCTCCATCTTTTTCTCTCCTTCTCACTTTCACTCTAGCCCTGTATCTATCTTTCTCGCTCCCTCCCTCCATATCTCTCCTTCTCTCCCTCCCTCCATCACATTTTCTCCTTCTCCTTTTCACTCTACTCCCATATATCTCTCTTTCTTTCCTTCATCTCTCTCCTTCTTTCTCTCTCCATCTTTCTCTCCTTCTCTCTCCCTCCCTCCATTACTTTCTCTCCCTCTCCCTTTCACTCTACCCCAGTGGTTCTCAACCTGTGGGTCAGGACCCCATTTGGGGTCGAACGGCCATTTCACGGGGGTCGCCAAACAACGCAGTCCGCCATTTTTTCCCCCTTTTCCTTAGCTGTGCTACTCCCTTTTAGTCTATTGGCTTTTGAAAGCCAATAGAATAGACTCTCTTGAATAGAGTCTAATTCTATTGGCTTTCAAAAGCCAATAGGAATTGTCCAGGCTGTCTCTGCCCTGCTGAGCCCGCCAAAAGTCCCATTCTGCAAACGGTGCTGCACCCGTTGAGTAGTCCTCGACTTACGACCGGTTGAGTAGTCCTCGACTTACGACCAGTTGGGGGTCGCGGCATTAAAAAGGTTGAGAACCACTGCTCTAACCCCATATCTTTCTCTCCTTCTCTCTCTCCCTCCATCTCTCCTTCTCTTTTCCGCTCCCTCCCTCCATCTGTCTTTCCTTCTCTTTCACTCTACCCCTGTATCTCTCCCTCCCTCCCTCCCTCTATATTTCTCTCCCCCACTCCTTCTGTTCCCCCCCCCCCCTCTCTCCTCTCAGGAACACAGCCAGGTTTTCCGGGGCCGTGGGAAAGTCTGACGGGCTTGGGGCTCTTCTGACCTCCCACGGGAGGATGCAGAAAAAGCCCAGTTCAACGGAAAATTCGTGGCTGCCATCTTGATTCTTTCGTTGTCATGGCCCCACGGGGGTCTCCCGTGGCAGGCTGTGAGGACGCAGCCTCTGCCCCCTGAAAGCGGGAGGGCCGTGCCCGGAGAACCGCCGGGCTCCCGGCCTCACCTTTGCGCCCGGCTCCATTCACCGCCCAGTCGTCCGCCTGCAGGTGAGCTGGACTGGAGGCTCTCACCACCAGGTGCTGCATGTCCCTCCAGGTGAGAGCTGGGCTGGAAACACAAAGGGGGGGGGAGAGAGAACCATTCAGAGTTTCGCTATGTGCCCTGTGAGGTGGGAAGGAGGGGGGGGGGTGCAGGTCCACAGGTCTTTGAGCTCCGATGCCATTGCACAGAATGAGGGGGCTTTCCTCCCCAAAAGTGTGGGGGGGAGGCAGAGAAGACCCATACCAGCCTGACTCGGGGGGGGGGGAAAGCCCTGCAGGAAGAGTCTCTGAGAGAGCCCCCTCCCAAGAAAAGAAGCTATCCCTGTGTCCAGCTTCAGTTCCTCTCCGGATCAGGGATAAGGATAGGCAGCTGGGTCTAGTGCAGGGGTGGGCAACCTTGGCTCTTTTATGACTCCTGGATTCAACTCCCAGAATTCCTCAGCCAGCATGGGGGAACTATGGCCCCCTCATGACTCCTGGATTCAACTCCCAGAATTCCTCAGCCAGCATGGGGGAACTAGGGCCCCCTCATGACTCGTGGACTTCAACTCCCAGAATTCCTCAGCCAGCATGGGGGAACTATGGCCCCTTCATGACTCGTGGACTTCAACTCCCAGAATTCCTCAGCCAACATGGGGGAACTATGGCCCCCTCATGACTCGGGGACTTCAACTCCCAGAATTCCTCAGCCAGCATGGGAAAACTAGGGCCCCCTCATGGCTTGTGGACTTCAACTCCCAGAATTCCTCAGCCAGCATGGAGGAACTATGGCCTCTTCATGACTCGTGGACTTCAACTCCCAGAATTCCTCAGCCAGCATGGAGGAACTATGGCCCCCTCATGACTGGTGGACTTCAACTCCCAGAATTCCTCAGCCAGCATGGGGGAACTATGGCCCCCTTCATGACTCATGGACTTCAACTCCCAGAATTCCTCAGCCAGCATGGAGGAACTATGGCCTCTTCATGACTCGTGGACTTCAACTCCCAGAATTCCTCAGCCAGCATGGAGGAACTATGGCCCCCTCATGACTCGTGGACTTCATCTCCCAGAATTCCTGGGCCAGCATGACGGAACTATGGCCCCCTCATGACTCGTGGACTTCAACTCCCAGAATTCCTGAGCCAGCATGGGGGAACTAGGGCCCCCTTCATGACTCATGGACTTCAACTCCCAGAATTCCTCAGTCAGCATGGGGGAACTATGGCCCCTTCGTGACTGGTGGACTTCAACTCCCAGAATTCCTGAGCCAGCATGGGGAAACTGGCCCCCTCATGACTCGTGGACTTCAACTCCCAGAATTCCTGAGCCAGCAGGGCTCAGCTTGGAAACCTCCATTTCTCCTCAGCACAGCTGGCTCAGGAATTCTGGGAGTTGAAGTCCACCAGTCATAAAAGAGCCAAGGTTGCCTACCCCTAGACTAGTGGTTGAGGCACCAGGCTAGAAAGCCGGAGATCTTGAGTTCTAGTCCCGTCTTAGCCACAAAAGCCAGCTGGGTGACTTTGGGCCAATCACCAGGAGACGGTGAGTTCCAGTCCCGCCTTAGACACGAAAGTTGGCTGGGTGACCTTGGGCCAGTCACCCTCTCAGCCCAGCCCACCTCACCAGGTTGTTGTTGTCGTTGTGGGGAAAAGAGAAGAGGAGGAAGGGTGTTGGATATGCTCGTCATCTTATTTGTCAAAAAAAAATAAAGGTGGGGAAAAAATAATAAAGTAAAGTAAAATAAATAAAATAAAATAAATAATAAAATAAAATAATAAAATAAATAATAAAATAAAATAATAAAATAAATAATAAAATAAAATAAGTTAAAATAAAAAATAAAATATTAAAATAAAAAATAATTAAGGTAAGGTAAGTAAGATAAGGCAAGGCAAGGCAAGGCAAGACCGACAGATTTCCCATTTCATTGGCTACCTGTCAGAGTAGCAAAAGCAGACAGGCTGGGATGTCCAGCCACAATTGCAAGTCTATGTTTCTCCCCCCCCCCACATTCTTTCCTTGAGGCCTATCACTATAATTCACAGCAGCTGCAAAAAGGGCACACGCAACTCATAAAATCTGGGTCTGTTTAGTCTTTGACTGTGCAGTTCTTTGGCGATCCCCTAAACAGGAAAAAATGACTTCTCCCCCCCAACATTGCTCTTGCAAAGTTTTCTTTAACAAGATTTATTGAGGTGGAAAGGATACATGCTGTGGCCCTAGGATAGGATAGGATAGAATTAGGATAGGATAGGATTAGAATAGGATAGAATTAGAATAGGATAGGATAGGATTAGAATAGGATAGGATAGGATAGGATAGGATAGAATTAGAATAGGATAGGATAGGATAGGATAGGATAGAATTAGAATAAGATAGGATAGGATAGGATAGGATTAGAATAGGATAGGATAGGATAGAATTAGAATAGGATAGGATAGGATAGAATTAGGATACGATAGGATAGGATAGGATAGAATTAGAATAGGATAGGATAGAATTAGAATAGGATAGGATAGGATAGAATTAGAATAGGATAGGATAGAATTAGGATAGGATAGGATAGGATAGAATTAGGATAGGATAGGATAGGATAGGATTAGAATAGGATAGGATAGGATAGAATTAGAATAGGATAGGATAGGATAGGATAGGATTAGAATAGGATAGGATAGGATTAGAATAGGATAGGATAGGATAGAATTAGGATACGATAGGATAGGATAGGATAGGATTAGAATAGGATAGGATAGGATTAGAATAGGATAGGATAGGATAGAATTAGGATACGATAGGATAGGATAGGATAGAATTAGGATAGGATAGGATAGGATAGAATTAGAATAGGATAGGATAGGATAGGATAGAATTAGAATAGGATAGGATAGAATTAGGATAGGATAGGATAGGATAGAATTAGAATAGGATAGGATAGGATAGAATTAGAATAGGATAGGATAGGATAGGATAGGATAGGATAGAATTAGAATAAGATAGGATAGGATAGGATAGGATAGGATAGGATAATAAAAAGTAAAATAAAATCTGGGCTCAGCTAAGAAGCCAACATTTGGGATGGTCTCCACTCCTTCCCACTTATTCCTTCCAGAAGGCCAGTTTAGGCGCGTGGTTTTCAAGCTCGGCCACTTAAATTCCCAGAATTCCCCATTCTGTGGGAAAGGCCCCACCCAAGGCACCTACTTGGCCTCCAGAGCGAGGGCAATCAGGCCGGCCGCCAGGGGGGCCGAGGCGGAGGTGCCCGTGTGGCTGCTGGTACAGGCGTGTCGCAGATCCGTGGTCACCTGGAAAAAAGAGTGGAACAGCACTGAAGGAGCAACCTTAAGCCCTCCTCCTCTTTGCAAAGCCTCACGCCGCTTAAGCGCCTAGTCCTCAGGGCTCTGACTACATCTCTCTCCCCCGCCTGGTCGGCGGCTGGGCTCCCATCCCGCTCTTCCTCCCACCGTTCCTCTTCCGACGGTGACTTTCCCAGGGCTGCCAAGGGCTGGAAGAAGGAGGATTGACCACCAGGGTTGTTGGCAGCTTTTATTCGAAAACCGATTGGTGGAAGGTCCAATTTCTGGGCCTGTCTCTCTGGACCAGTGGTTCTCAACCTTTTTAATGCCGTGATCCCCAACCGGTTGTAAGTCGAGGACTACTCAACCGGTCGTAAGTCGAGGACTACTCAACTGGTGCAGCCCCATTTGCAGAATGCGACTTTTGGCGGGCTCAGCAGGGCAGAGACAGCCTGGACAATTCCTATTGGCTTTAGAAAGCCAATAGAATTAGACTCTGTTCAAGAGAGTCTATTCTATTGGCTTTCAAAAGCCAATAGAATAAAAGGGAGTAGCACAGCTAAGGAAAAGGGGGGAAAAAATGGCGGACTGCGTTGTTTGGCGACCCCCGTGAAATGGTCGTTCGACCCCAAATGGGGTCCCGACCCACAGGTGGAGAACCACTGCTCTGGACAAATACGAGGGCAATTTCAGAAATAAACCCGTTTGGTTATCAATGACAAGACTGTCAATGCTGCTAACATCGGATGTTTTGCATTGACAACAGATGGAAATGTAGCCATCTTTTTTCCCTTTCGCTTTTAGAATTATATGACGCTGGGAGGGGGCATGTGAATGCGAGTCTAGCTCAGCGGTTCTCAACCTGTGGGTCGGGACCCCATTTGGGGTCGAACGACCATTTCACGGGGGTCGCCAAACAACGCAGTCCACCATTTTTTCCCCCCTTTTCCTTAGCTGTGCTACTCCCTTTTATTCTATTGGCTTTTGAAAGCCAATAGAATAGACTCTCTTGAATAGATCTAATTCTATTGGCTTTCCAAAGCCAATAGGAATTGTCCAGGCTGTCTCTGCCCTGCTGAGCCCGCCAAACGTCCCATTCTGCAAACGGTGCTGCAAGTGGTCTGCAGCGAAGGCGAGCTGTCTGGAAGCTTCCACCCCTCCCTGCTGAGCAACTACTAAAAGTGTAAGTAAAAGAGGGCCAAGGGTGGGAGGTGGGAGGCCGGCAGGCGCAGGGAGGGTTGCTGGCGTGCGTGGGGCCCGGCGGGTGCCTTACCTCCCTTGGGCTGGGCCAGCTGGTGGCCTAGCCGGTGGTTGGCCTGCGCCATCTCTGCCGCTTGCCAGCTACGCCTTGGCCGGCGCAGGGGGCGGCACCACGCATGCGCGGCGCTCCCAGGCAGGAAAAGTCCTCGACTTACGACCGATTGGGTAGTCCTCGACTTACAACCGGTTGGGAGTCGTGGCATTAAAAAGGTTGAGAACCACTGGTCTAGCTAGCCATAACAACACTAAACTTAGCGTGAGAGTCAAGGTTATTGAGCCCAGAGGTGATAAAGAATTGGGCTGGATCTTCTTTTTTTCTTTTTTTTTTTATTCTTTTCCTTTCTAAACATTTATTTTTTGTATTCATGTTTTTTTATATATATACTATTGTTAATTATTTTATAATTTTTCTAATTAATGTATTTAGATTTCTAACTAACGTTAGATTCATTTATGGTTTATATTTTTTTTAAAGATTTTTTGATGAAATTTTAATTAAGCCTATATTCAGCTCTGGGAAGGTCGGGGGAGGGAATGGGAGGGTTGGGGAGGTTGGGGGGAAGATTGTTTTGTTTTTGTAAAATTTCAAAAATTTAATAAAAATTATCTTTGAAAAAAAAAAGAATTGGGCTGGAGAACTTGCTTCCTGCTAATTGGGGAATGTGATTTATGACTGTTAATTGGAGGAGGGAATTGTGCTTTGATGCTATGTGCATGAATTCAGTTTTTGGCTTCGATTATGTAGTGTCAATATTATGCTATTCGAATAAAAGATTATTTGAAAAGATTATTGAGGTAAACAATGCCTCAAAATTCTTTTGAAGAGTTTCATCTGTCGGAACCATGACAAAGACACTCGCAGATACAGAACTTTTATTATATACCGTAAATGCCGGCGTATAAGACGACTTCCGCGAACGCTGAAATCGGCGCCAAATACGGGGGTCGTCTTATACGCCGAGTCGTCTTATACGCTGGAAATACTGGTAGTTTCCGGCGTATAAGACGACGTTCTAGGAATGCGGCCCGGCTATAAAGATGGGGGTCATCTTATACGCCGGGTCGCCTTGTACGCCGGCATTTACGGTACATTAGAAAACTATAACATGACGCGACTTCTCGACACAATCGCCATTCCAGTGGGGGCCCTCGTCATCATGTCTCACAAGATTTCGTTGCTCGGCGCCAAATCTGTCCTATAAGGGGGAGTGTGTGATCAAAAACATCCCAGCGGAACCGCTTCTGAAGTTTTTGGGTCCGTCTAGCGGTGTGTGGGCGAGCATTGTCGTGCACCGACAACACCACACCGGACGTGGTGCCGTAGAAAATCCCGCCAAATGCGAAGATGCCAAAGGAGTAACTACTGGTGAAGTTCACGGAGTCTGGTTCAACCATCAGTTCAAATGTCTGCTGTGAAACGTTACAAAAACTCAGACAAGACACCCATGACAAGCATCGTCGCCTGACGACCTCCGGTGTGGTGTTGTTGATTCACAACAATGCTCGCCCGCACACCGCTAGACGCACCCAAGAAGTTCAGAAGCAGTTCCATTGGGATGTTTTTGATCACACACACACCCATAGCCCAGATTTGGCACTGAGCGATGACGACAGGAATTTCAAACTTTGTAAGACGTTGACGAGGGCCTCCACTGGAATGGCGATTATGTCGAAAAGTCAGGTCATGTTGTAGTTGTCTAATGCAGTGGTTCTTAACCTGGGTGATATTGCTTCCCAGGGGGCGATTTCATTTTTCAGGGGGGCGATAGAACGAAAAGGGGGCGATACGGGGGTGATGGAGCGAGACGTTTTGGGGACACTTTTGAGACTTTTTCGTACAGTGAATCGCTGCATATCTGTCATACAAAAATATCAGATCGCTCGCTATTAGTGGATTGAATTGTGTTTTCAAATGTTCCTCCAGCTAGCATCAGTACAGAACGCCGTACATGTGAATACGCATCGCTTATCTTCATGCGCGTTGCGCAGCCGCCTCTACCCTTTTTATATTTCTTTTTGCGTCTTAAATTTCACTTGTAATTCAATCATTAAATGTTACTGTTTTTCTTTTCGGGCATTTTACTTTCTTGCAACTAAATTTTGTTTTCAGTGGTCATTACATTTAAGTGTCTTGAATAAATAAGATAATAATGAAATACATGTATCATGAAGTTTGGGAATAAAGTGACGGGTGGCACCAAAATTTTTCAAACAATTGAGATATGGGAAAAAGACTGGACATAAATTATTTGCATCGATATGTCCTGATGACAATTTTAAAGAAAAAAAAAAGTGTTTGCATAAATTGAAGAATTATTTCCTATGTTGTGATTGAGAGGTTATGTTGGGGGAGGGGGGCAATGACAACTTCCTCATTGGCTCAAGGGGGCGATTCGTTCAAAAAGGTTAAGAACCACTGGTCTAATGTTTATGATAAAAGTTCTGTATCTGCCAGCGTCTTGTCATTGATAACCAAACAGAGGTTTATTTCCAAATTGCCCTCGTGTTTACCTCCGTTGAATTCAGCTAGAAGTGGGCCAGGTCGCATCTGAGGCCGAAAGGCACGCTCAGATGAACTGAATACATGTGAATATATTCTAGATATATTCTATCTGTTCCAAATAATGAGCTTAAATTTGAAGGATGGAATTTTCCCAGCCTCGGCCTCAACGCGCGTCAACCGAAGCGACTTTAAGGTGGGCTGGACTTCAACTCCCAGAATGCCCCAGCCAGTTGGTACTTGTCCCTTTGGTTTTTTTTCCTGGCTTGTGTCTTTCAGATACTCTTCGCCTTTCAGAGGGGAGGGGAGATGTGATCCCCTTGCCCACCTCCCACCCCGTCCGGGGGTCTCACAATCTGCTTCTCGCCCTTGGCCCCGCTGCTGTAGGTGGTGGTGAGGGTGGAGGCACAGGCCTCGTTGTACCAAGGCACCCGGCCGCTCTTGGTGCTGCTGCCCACGGATAAGGTGTAGATGCTGTTGGTGTAGCCGTCGCAATTGCAGTTGTCCTTCCGAAGGCCGCCGTTCCCGGAGGCCCAGACGAAGAGAGAGCCCAGCCCTCCGCGTCCCTGCGGGGAGAAGGCGGAATGAGTTTCATTTAGTGACCGTCCCAAGTTTCACCGTTTTTCACACCGTTCATCGCCGTTGCAGCGTTCCCCACGACAGTGGCCGTGTCCCCGGGGTGATGTGATCCTCTTTTTGTGACTTTTCCGGCAAGCGAAGTCAATGGAGAACTTAACAATTGCAGCAATCCGCTTAGCAACGGTGGCAAGAAAGGTTCGTAAAATGGGGTAAAATTCACAACGCATCTCCCACGTAACAACAGAAACGTTGGGCTCCATTATGGTCGTAAGTTGAGGACTGCCTGTAGAGGTAATCCGCTATGTACGACCGTCCGTTTAACAACCGCTTGAAGTCTGGACAGCATTGAGAAAATTGACTTCGGAGTAGCCGCTGCCCTTATGCCACGGGATCGAAATTCAGGCGCGGGACAACTGGCAGGTCTTCACCACGTCCGGGGGGTCACGTGATCCCCCTTTGTGACGTTCCCGGGGGGCTTCCAACTACCCAAGTGAACCCCAAAGGTGCTTTTTAAAGATGTAACCGGACTTTCTTGGGTTTTTCCTTTGAAGACATTTTGCTTCTCCTCCCAGAAGCTTCTTCAACTCTGACCGGATGGTGGAGAGTGGAAGGATTTATACTCCTTGCAGACAGAGCTGGTCATTTGCCTTCTTTGAGAGAGTCGTAGGCCACTTGGGGGTTTGTCTGTGTCCTGAGGGTCACCTGAGTGGTGGAAATGGGTGAGCAGCCTTCTGGGAACTGAGTTAAAGGACTGTGTTTCAGCAGTTGCAAGGAGGCTGCACCCCCATTTGCACCACTCAGCTGACCCTGAGGACACAGGTGAACCTCCAAGTGCCCTCAACGACTCTCTCAAAGAAGACAAATGACCAGCCGTCTGCAAGAAGTATAAATCCTTCCCTTCCCCACCATCCAGACAGGGCTGAAGAAACTTCTGGGATGAGAAGCGAAACGTCTTCAAAGGAAAAACAAGAAAGTCCAATTTGCCTCTGAAAAAAAAAAAGCACCTTTGGGGACAACCGTGACCCGGATGATGGTAGAATAGAAGCATGAAACAAAGGATGCAGGAAGAGGGATAAAATAAAGTGGGAAGGACAGAAGCTAAAATAATTGTTTTAATTATTTTAAATAATTAAATAAAATGATTGAATTGTCCTGCAGCAAGTTGTCCCACGGCAGGTTGGCCACAGTGAGTTGGCTGTAGGAACAGCACTAGCCCTTAGACTTGTATACCACTTCACAGCGCTTTCACGTCCCTCTCTAAGCGGTTTACAGCCTATTTGCCCCCAAGAGCCTGGGTCCTCATTTTACCGACCTTGGAAGGACGGAAGGCTGAGTTCGACCTTAAGCTGGTCAGGATCGAACTGCTGGCAGTGGGCAGAGTCAACCTACCATGCTGCATTCTAACCACGGCGCCATCACAGCTCTTACAAGAGAAAGAAAGAGAAGGAAGGAAGGAAAGGAAGGAAGAAAAAAGAAAGGAGAGGAAAGAAGAGGGAGAGAAAAAGAGAAGGGAAATAAGAGATGGAGGGAGGAGGGAAAGGAAAAATGGAGAAAGAGAAGGGAAGGAAGGAGAGACAGAGGGAAGGAGGGAGAAAATAGCAATAATTATATACCAGTTCACGCTGCCTTTACAGCCCTAAGCGGTTTACAGAGTCAGCCTATTTGCCCCCAACAATCTGGGTCCTCATTTTACCGACCTCGGAAGGACGGAAGGCTGAGTTTGACTTGGAGTCTTTAGGATCGAACTCCAGGCAGTGGGCAGAGTCAGCCTGCAATGCTGCATTCTAACCACGGCGCCATCATGGCTTTTTACAAGAGAAAGGAAGGGAGGGAGGGAGGGAAAGAACAAAAAGGAGAAATAAAAAGGAGGGAGTAAGTAAGGAAAGAAGAGGGAGAGAAAAAGAAGGGAAATAAGAGATGGAGGGAGCAGGAGAGAAAGAAAAAAAATGGCGAAAAAGAAGGGAAGGAAGGAGAGAGAAGAGGGAAGGAAAGAAAAGAAAGGTAGAAGGAAAAGGGCATGAAAGGAGAGGGAGGGAAAGAGGGAGAGAATAGCAATAGCACTTCCGCTTCGTACTCCTTTACAGCCCTCTCTGAGTCAGCCTATTGGCCCCCAACAATCTGGGTCCTCATTTTACCGACCTTGGAAGGACGGAAGGCCGAGTCAACCTTGAGCCGGTCAGGATCGAACTGGTGGCACTGGGCAGAGTCAGCTTGCAATTCTGCCTTCTAACCACTGCGTCACCACGGCGCTTTACAAGAGAAAGGAAGGAAGAGAATGAAAGAAAAGGAGAAAGAAAAAGGGAGGGAGGGAGGAGTGGAAAGAAGAGGGAGAGAAAAAGAGAAGGGAAATAAGAGATGGAAATAGCAGAAGAGAAAGAAAAAATGGAGAAAAAGAAGGAAAGGAAGGAGAGAGTAGAGGGAAGGAAAGAAAAGAAAGGTAGAAAGAAAAAGGCGTGAAGGAAGGAGAGGGAATCAGAATCTGAATAGAGCTGGAAGGGACCTTGGAGGTCTTCTAGACCAACCCCCTGCACAAGGCAGGAGATCCTCCTTTTACCGCTCTCGGAAGGATGGAAGGCTGAGTCAACCTTGAGCTGGTCAGGATCGAACTGCTGGCAGTGGGCAGTGAGTTAGCCTGCAATGTTGCATTCAAATCACAGCACCATCCCAACTCTTATAAGAGGAAGGAAGGAAGGAAGGAAGGAAGGAAGGAAGGAAGGGAAGGAAGGGAGGGAAAGAACAAAAAGGAGAAATAAAAAGGAGGGAGTAAGGAAAGAAAGAAGAGGGAGAGAAAAAGAGAAGGGAAATAAGAGATGGAGGGAGCAGGAGAGAAGGAGAAAATGGAGAAAAAGAAGAGAAGGAAGGAGAGAGTAGAGGGAAGGAAAGAAAAGAAAGGTAGAAAGAAAAAGGCGTGAAGGAAGGAGAGGGAATCAGAATCAGAATAGAGCTGGAAGGGACCTTGGAGGTCTTCTAGTCCAGCCCCCTGCTCAAGCAGGAGAAGAAGAAGGGAAGGAAGGAGAGAAGAACAACAACACTTAGACTTATATACCGCTTCACAGCGCTTTCACAGCCCTCTCTAAGCGGTTTAGAGAATCAGCCTATTTGCCCCCAACCATCTGGGTCCTCCTTTCACCGATCTCGGAAGGACGGAAGGCCGAGTCAAACTTGAGCCGGTCAAGATCGAACTGCTGGCAGTGAAATGCAGAATTAGCCTGCAATGCTGCATTCTCACCACCGCGCCACCAATGGCTGTATGGCAAATTGGCAGCAATGGCCGTGGCGAGTTGTCCCATTCCGGAACAGACACAGCACTTCAATCTCCCCCCCAAAACAGAGGGGGCCCCCCCTCTCACGTTGGCTGCCCCCTTGCGGAAGGCCTCTCTGGCTAGGACCCCCGGGCCGTCCACCGTCTTCCCGTCATCCTCGGGGCCCCAGCTGGCGCTGTAGATGTCGATGTGCTGGGTTTGGAGACTCAGCGACTGGGCCTCCACGATGTCGTTCACGTCGCCATCCAGCATCCTCACGCCTGGAGGGAGAACGAGAAGGAAGCAGGAGACATTTGGGGAAGCTGTACTTTGTCTGTGCTGACTTGTTTTTGGAAGAAGGAAGGAAGGAGGGAGGGAGGGAGGGAGGAATGGTGGGAGGGAGGAAGGAAGGAAGGAGAGTGGGAAGAAGGAAGGAAGGAAGGAAAGAAGGAGGGAGGGAGGAATGGTGGGAGGAAGGAAGGAAGGAAGAAGAGGGAAGAAGGAAGGAAAGAAGGAAGGGAGAGAGGGGAGGGAGGGAGGGAGGAAGGAAGGAAGGAGAGTGGGAAGAAGGAAGGAAGGAAGGGAGAGAGGGAGGGAGGAAGGGTGGAAGGAAGGAAGGAAGGAAAGAAGGAGGGAGGGAGGAATGGTGGGAGGAAGGAAGGAAGGAAGAAGAGGGAAGAAGGAAGGAAAGGAAGGGAGAGAGGGGAGGGAGGGACGGAGGAAGGAAGGAAGGAAGGGAGAGAGGGAGGGAGGGTGGAAGGAAGAAAGGAAGGAAGGAGAGTGGGAAGAAGGAAGGAAGGAAGGAAGGAAGGAAGGGAGAGGGAGGGAGGGTGGAAGGAAGGAAGGAAGGAAGGAAGAAAGGAAGGAAGGAAGGAAGGAAGGGCGAGCCATGGTGGTGCAGTGGTTAGAATGCAGCATTGCAGTCTAATTCTGCCCACTGCCAGCAGTTCGATCCTGACCGGCTCAAGGTTGATTCAGCCTTCCGTCCTTCCGAGGTTGGTAAAATGAGGACCCAGATGGTTGGGGGCAAAGATGCTGACTCTGTAAACCGCTTAGAGGGGGCTGTGAAAGCTCTGTGAAGCGGTATATAAGTCTATTTCTATCATCATCCTGTGACGATAGCCGTAACACCATCAAACATCCAGATGTGCCTATCCCAGGTCCTGGGTAAGGACTCGATAGGTAGAAAAAATGGCCAAACCCAGTCTGAACATCTGGCTGACTGTGCGATGGTCAATAATAACGATAATAGTAATGATAAATGGGGAAAGAGAAGAAGATAATAAGAAGGATAGAGAATAATACTGCAGCCACACTATATGGGTTGACGTACAGGTAATCCTCGACTTCACGACCACGAAAGGACATTTGTTAAGTGAGTTTTGCCCCATTTTTTTTTTCTTGCCACAGCTTTGAATCACTGCGGCTGTTAAGTTAGTAGCCTGGTTGTTAAGTCAGTCTGGCTCCTCCATGGACTTTGCTTGTGAGAAGGTCACAAAAGGGATCACGTGACCCCGGGACATGGCAACCGTCATAAATATGGACCAGTTTCCAAGTGTCTGAATTTTGATCACATGACCACGGGGATGTTGCAGTCGGCTACTCCGACTTTTATTAAAAGGCTTGAAATTCAGAAGAAAGCAGAGAAGAAAGGCAAGTGAGATAGATGTCTCTAAAACCGGCGTTTCTCAACCTTGGCCATTTTTAAGATGGGCGGACTTCAATTCCCAGGATTCCTCCGGCCAGCCATGCATGGCTGGCCAGAGGAATCCTGGGAATTGAAGTCCGCCCATCTTAAAAATGGCCAAGGTTGAGAGACAGTTGCAAGCAAACCATCCCTTTTGGACTCCAGGCTCAGGAATTCAGATTCTCCCACGCGAATCTGGAATTTTTACTCGGCCAAGAATTTTCCATGCACGTCCAGCGACCTGCCTTGTCCCTGTTGTGATGCCCCCCACGGCTCCAACCTACGCAAAGTCACAAAGAGGCCACATACCCCCAATTTTGGCCCCGTGGGCGATACCGGCTCCACAGACGTGGTTGTTAGCAGTGGCAGCCACCTCCCCGGCGCAGCGTGTGCCGTGTCTGAAAGAAAGGGCAAAAGAGAGAATAACAGACTCACAGAGCTGGGAGGGACCTTAAGGGATCTTCTAGTCCAACCCTTTGCTCAGGCAGGAGACTCTTATAGAATCATAGAATAATAGAGTTGGGAGGGAGGGAGGGAGGGAGTAGGAAGGAAGGAAGGAAGTAGAGGAAGGGAAGGTAGGAATGAGAGAAAGAAAGAATAAAAAATAAAGACAGAAAGAAGGAAAGGAGGAAAAAAGAAAGGAGAGAAAAAAACAAAGAAAGAAAAACAAAGAAAGAAGAGGAAGGGAAGGTAGGAAGAAAAGAAAAAAAGGAAGGAAGGGAGAGAAGGAATGAAGAAAGAAAGAAAGAAAAGGTAGGAAGGAAAGAAAAAAGAAAGAGAAAGAAAGAAAGAGGAAGGGAAGGTAGGAAGGAAAGAAAGAAAGGAAGGGAGAGAAGGAAGAAAGAAAAGAAAGAAAGAAAGAAAGAAAGAAAGAAAGAAAGAAAGAGAAAGAAAGGGAAGGTAGGAAGGAGAGAAAGAAAGAAAGAAAGAAGAGGAAGGGAAGGTAGGAAGGAAAGAAAGAAAAAGAAAGGAAGGAAGGAAAGAAGGGAGAGAAGGAAGAAAGAAGAAAGAAAGAAAGAAAGAAAGAGGAAGGGAAGGTAGGAAGGAAAGAAAGAAAAAGGAAGGAAGGAAGGAAAGAAAGAAGGGAAGGAAGGAAAGAAAGGAAGGAAGGAAGGGAGAGAAGGAAGAAAGAAAAGAAAAGAAAGAAAGAAAGAAAGAGAAAGAAAGGGAAGGTAGGAAGGAGAGAAAGAAAGAAAGAAGAGGAAGGGAAGGTAGGAAGGAAAGAAAGAAAAAGAAAGGAAGGAAGGAAAGAAGGGAGAGAAGGAAGAAAGAAGAAAGAAGAAAGAAAGAAGAGGAAGGGAAGGTAGGAAGGAAAGAAAGAAAGAAAAAGAAAGGAAGGAAAGAAGGGAGAGAAAGAAGAAAGAAAGAAAGAAAGAAAGAAAGAAAGAAAGAAAGAGGAAGGGAAGGTAGGAAGGAAAGAAAGAAAAAGGAAGGAAGGAAGGAAAGAAAGAAGAAGGGAAGGAAGGAAAGAAAGGAAGGAAGGAAGGAAAGGAGAGAAGGAAGAAAGAAAAGAAAGAAAGAAAGAAAGAGAAAGAAAGGGAAGGTAGGAAGGAGAGAAAGAAAGAAAGAAGAGGAAGGGAAGGTAGGAAGGAAAGAAAGAAAAAGGAAGGAAGGAAAGAAGGGAGAGAAGGAAGAAAGAAGAAAGAAAGAAAGAAAGAAAGAGGAAGGGAAGGTAGGAAGGAAAGAAAGAAAAAGGAAGGAAGGAAGGAAAGAAGGGAGAGAAGAAAGAAGAAAGAAAGAAGAGGAAGGGAAGGTAGGAAGGAAAGAAAGAAAGAAAAAGAAAGGAAGGAAAGAAGGGAGAGAAGGAAGAAAGAAAGAAAGAAAGAAAGAACGAAAGAAAGAAAGAAAGAAGAGGAAGGGAAGGAAGGAAAGAAAGGAAGGAAGAAGGGAGAGAAGGAAGAAAGAAAAGAAAGAAAGAAAGAAAGAAAGAAAGGGAAGGTAGGAAGGAAAGAAAGAAAGAAAGAAAGAAAACAGGAAAGAAGGAAGGAAGGAAGGAAGGAAGGAAGGAAGGAAGGAAGGAAGGAAGGAAGGACAGAAAGGAAGGAAGGAAGGAAGGAAGGGTGGACCACACAGAATCCCTCCCAACCTTATTATTCTGAAAAGTCTCCTAAATCGGGGCAGGCAAGCTAAACTGGGACTCCAGACTACAACCCTCACAATCCTTGGCCAGCTTTCCCAGGCCGGCCAGGAGAAAAGGGAAGCTCCAGTCTCCAAGAGAGTGGGCGAACACGCAACCCCCCTCTCCCCAGCACACACGCACACACACTCACTCACACACCCCTACCTGTTCTCATTCCACCGGTTGTATCGCGGCTGAGGGTCCGGATCGTTGTCGTTGAAGTCGTAGCTGGCCAGAGGGTCCTGGGGGGAGAGAGAGCAGAAGGACGGGGGGCTAGCCAGGCTCCGAACAGCCTTTGGGGGAGAGTTTGGGGACTGGTGAACTCTGGGAGGAGCAGAAATAACATGCAGAGGACCAGAGAGTTTCGGGAGCCCCCTTTTGGGGGGGCTGGGGGTGGGGCTGGGGGAGAGGCCGATGAGAAGACGGGTGGTTCTACCATACAGCACCAGCCGTGAACCTGAGCAACTTGGAAGAGGGGCAGACTTCAACTCCCAGGGGGGACCCTGCTCCCACCCGGGTGGCGCCGAGGGCGCAGACCAACCTCAACGGCTCTCAGAGGGAGCACAAACGACCAGAGGACTGCTAAGGCAGGGGTGGCGAACCTTTTAGAGCCCGAGTGCCCAAACTGCAACCCAAAACCCACTTATTTATCACGGCCCGGAGGCGGTGAGTCGGCCAGGTGCGCTCGCTCATTGGGTGGCCTAAGATGCCCTGCAACAACTGTTGAATCAACGGGGGGATCAGGCCCTATAGGTAGCCTCATGGTTCTCATTCCAGATCAACGGCTTCCATTTGTCTAACCAGGCTAGCCCTAGCATCACCGCCTCGGTCATTTTGGGAGCCGCCAGGAAGCGAATAAACTCCCAGTGTGCACCTACGTCTAGGCGTAAGGGCTCGCTGGGCGGGCATGACTGTGCTCAGGACAGACTGGCTGGGTGTGGCCAAGGTGAGTCACCCCTCATGTTGCTTGTGGGGGTCGGGCAGGCTTGGGGGGGGGCTCTGGCAGGTTGTTCTATCCCAGCCTACAGCCGTCCTTGTTAAAGGCACAAGGACCAAACCCCTGTTGATATAATAGGCTGGAGACTTTAAAACAAAACAAACCTCTTTTAATATGGGTGACAAACCTGCCAAATAGTCCAAAACACAAAGATTAAAACTCAAGTCCAAAGGAAGGAAATAGTCCACAGGAAACACGATGCAAACAGAAGAGTAGTCACAAGCAAGACGAACAGACCAGGATCCAAAGAAGCACTTTGCAAACGGTTGCCTTCAGCAACCAGCACCGCCACACCTTCCCTTTTTATACAGCAGTCCCAAGGCGTTGCCTCTCAGTGCCTTCTCCTTTGACCCTGGAGTTGCCGTATTGACTGCTGCTGATTTACTCTCGCTAATTGACGACGTGTGCATGCATCAATTAGCATGTCCATCAGGTGTGAGTCCTTTGAGTCTGACTCATTCTCCTCACACAGCTGAGCTTCATCAGGAACACGACTGGAGGGCCCAGGCTCTGCATCAAACCGTGATTCCTGTAATTCATCAGAGCCTTCCTCTGCCCCTGATGGCCCTTCAAATGCCCCCTCCACCTCCTCCTCAGATTCCTCAGACTCAGCTGTTGGGAGCACAGGCTGGCACAGAATCACAATACAGGCTGGGCGGAGGTGCCACTGTTGTAGGGCAAGGCGAGGCACGGGCTGGGGTGGCTGCTGCCTGACACCATCGGCCCCTGCACACACCATCGGCCCCTGACACCATCGGCCCCTGCACACACAAGCCGGTGAGCGCATGGGGGCCGACAGTGTCCGTCAGCAGCCACAGCCTGCCAGCCCCTCGACTGGCGCGCTCTGGGGCTCCGCAGCCCACCGCCAGCACTTCAGAGAAGCCGCCTCTGAGCTGGACGGCCGGCCGACAGCTGGGATGCATCCAGCCACGTGGGAGCTCAGCGAGTTAGCGGGCGGCTAATTGGAGAGGGACAGTTGCCATCGCCAGGGCATGGTGCGCATGCCCACAGAGAGGGCTCTGAGTGCCGCTTCTGGCACACGTGCCATAGGTTCGCCACCACTGTGCTAAGGCACATAGATCCTTCCGTTCTCCACCGTTCAGTCAGAACCGGAGAAGCTTCCTGGACAAGTAGCGAAACGTCTTGCAGGAAAAAAGCAAGAAAAATCCAGTTGCCTTTTGGGAAAAAAAAGCCCCTTTGGGACAACCGTGGCCTGGATGAGGGAGAATCTCCGTAGACATTTAAGCGGTGCACTTTGGGATGAACCCCCTTCGAATGGTGCGGGAGGACGAACGGATCTCCATCCTCCCCCATTCAGTCAGAACCGGAGAAGCTTCTTGGATGAGAAACGAAACGTTTTCCAGGAAAAAAAACAAAGTCCAGTTGCCTTTTGGAAAAAAAAAAAGCCTCTTTGGGATTCCAGTGATGGAGCACCTGCAATTTCTGGTGGCAAGCCGTTCCACTGGTTAATTGTTCTCACGGTCAGGAAGTTCCTCCTTAGTTGTGGCTGTCCAGTCTCTTCTTAAAAGCCTCCAGTGAGGGAGCGCCCACACGTTCTGGTGGCAAGCTGTTCCTCTGGTTAATTGTTCTCGCGGTCAGGAAATTTCTCCCTAACTTCAGGTTGCTTGATTAGTTTCCATCCGTCGTTTCTTGTCCTGCTTCCGGGTGGCTGGGAGAAGAGGTTGACAACAACCCCCCCTCCCAATTTGTGCCAGCCCCTCAAATACTGGAAGACGGCTATGATGTCACCTCTAGTCCTTCTTTTCATTAAATCACAGAGTTGGTGATTTGGAGGTGTTCATATTAGTAAAGTTGGAAGGGACCTTGGAGGTCATCTAGTCCAACCCCCTGCTCGGGCAGGAAACCCTACACCATTTCGGACAAGTGGCTGCCCAGTCTCTTCTTAAAAACTTCCAGTGTTGGAGCATTCACCGCTTCTGGAGGCAGGTTGTTCCACTGATTAATTGTTCTCACTGTCAGGAAGTTTCTCCTTAGTTCTAGGTTGCTTCTCTCCTTGATCAGTTTCCATCCGTTGCTTCTTGTCCTGCCTTCAGGTGCTTTGAAAAATAGCTTAATTCCCTCTTCTTTATGGCAGCCCCTGAGATATTGGAATACTTCTAGTCCAACCCCCTGCTCAAGCAGGAGACCCTATGCCCTTTCAGACAAACGCTTGTCCAGTCTCTTCTTAAAAACCTCCGGTGCTGGTACACTGGTGGCAAGCGGTTCCACTGATTAATTACCAGAATGATAGAGCTGGAAGGGGCCTTGGAGGTCTTTTAGTCCAGCCCCTACTCAAGCAGGAGACCGTATTACCATTTCAGACAAACGCTTGTCCAGTCTCTTCTTAAAAACCTCCGGTGCTGGAACACTGGTGGCAAGCGGTTCCACTGATTAATTACCAGAATGATAGAGTTGGAAGGGACCTTGGAGGTCATCTAGTCCAACCCCCTGCTCAGGCAGGAAACCCTATACCATTTTGGACAGATGGCTGTCCAGTTTCTTCTTAAAAGCTTCCAGTGTTGGAGCCTTCACTTCTTCTGGAGGCAGGTTGTTCCCCTGGTTAATTGTTCTCACTGTCAGGAAATTCCTTCCTTCCTTCCTTCCTTCCTTCCTTCCTTCCTTCCTTCCTTCCTTCCTTCCTTCCTTCCTTCCTTCTTTCCTTTCCTTTCCTTTCCTTTCCTTCCTTCCTCATTTAACAGAATAACAGACTTGAAAGGGACCTTGGAGGTCTTCTAGTCCAACCCCCTTGCTCAGGCAGGAAACCCTATACCATTTCAGACAAGTGGCTGTCCACTCCAGTCTTAAAAAACCCCAGTAATGGAGCCTCCACAGCTTCTGGAGGCAGGTTGTTCCACTGGTTAATTGTTCTCACTGTCAGGAAGTTTCTCCTTAGTTCTAGGTTGCTTCTCTCCTTGGTGAGTTTCCCTCCGTTGCTTCTTGTCCTGCCTTGGGGGGCTTTGGAGAAGAGGGTCGGCTCCCTTCTCTCGGGGGCAGGCCCCCCAAGTCTTGCTCAGTTTCCATTAAACACCCTTCACCGATCTGCAGCCGCTGCCCCCCCCTCCTCCCCATCCTAGGCCTGCCAGAACTTGCAATCAGCCTGAAGACCACCCACAGCACTTGGACAGACCCCCCCAGCACGCTTGGCGGCCTGCAAGTTGCCCCAAGGTGGTATTGAGTTCATTTCTACACACGCCCCGTGGTCTCCCTCCTCCATCTGTCTCCACCAGGGGTGTGTGTGTGTGTGTGTGTGTGTGTGATACACTCACGTAGTTTGCCACAAGGTCAGGATGGTTCTTCTCGACCCCGTCGTCCAGAATGCTCACCACTACGCCTAAGCCGGTGTAGCCCTGGCTCCATGCCGTGAGGACGTTGAGGTCTGGGGTGACATCGTTGTTCTGCAACGGAAAAGGGAACGGTTGGGGGGAGATTGGGGTTCAAGGAGGGCTTTCTGACCGCCATGATCCTTTCTTCGTTTTTCTCGCCGGGTATGTGTATCCTGTCAAGGCCGCTCTTGCTTTGACAACAGATGGAAATGCAGCCATTTTTCTCTGTTGCTTTTAGAGTTAGTTGCTGCTGGGAGGGGGAATGGGGATGAGAGTCCAGCTAGTCATCACAATAATAGCTCAGCCGTGGGAACCCAAGGACGTCGGGCCCAGACCTGATAGTGTTTGGGCCGGGCTGGAGAGCTGGGGAGGAAGCCCTCGCTTCAAGCTGATTGGGGAATGTGATTTATGACTGTTTATGGGAGGAGGGAATTGTGCTTTGTTACTTTGTATCCAGGGGAGGGGGATTTAGTTTTGGGCTTCGACTATGTAGTGCCGATACTTTGTTTCCTGAATAAAAGATTCTTTAAGGTAAACAACGCCTCAAAGTTCTTTTGAGGAGTTTCATCTGTCGGAACCATGAGATAGCCATCTAAATTAGACTGTTGTCGTTTCTCTGGCCTGTGTGTGTGTGTGTGTGTGATGTTTATGCAATATATATTGGAGGGGGTTACCCTGGCTCAGGAATTCTGGTCATGAAAGAGCCAAGGCTCCCCACCCCTGTCCTAGGACAAGGTCTACACGTACCGGTGGAAGAGATTATATGTAGCTCGGAGTTGAACTTTAGGGTCCTTTGGTGCTCTCCGAGTTTGACTCTTCACTTGCAGATGGTTCTTGACCCAGTTAGGGAAGGTCGTCAGAGCTAGAAGGGAGGGTGGCTTAAAGAGTGGGGGCGAAGGAGAGCGGGAGGAGGAGGAGGAGACTGTGGGGTCCTTGGTGCTCTCTGAGCCTGGTTGCTTTCTTGCAGATGTTTCATTATCAAGGGCACTGATGATGTTGACTAGTTGGCTAATGAAACGTCTGCAAGAAAATGACCCGGCTCAGAGACCATCAAGGACCCCCCAGTCTCCTCCTCCGCCTCCTCCTCCTCCTCCCGAACCCCACTCCCGTTATCTAGTAGTTGGGTAATGAAACATCTGCAAGAAGACCACCCAGCTCAGAGAGCACCAATGACCCTACAGTCCTCCTCCTCCTCCCTCTTTCCTTCTCTCCTTCTTCTCCTTCTCTTCTTTCTTCTTCTCCTCCTCCCTTTCCTTCTCTTCTCCTGCTTCTCCTCCTCCTCCCTTTCCTTCTCTCCTCCTTCTCCTCCTCCCCTTCCTTCTCTTCTCCTTCTCCTCCCTTTCCTTCTCTCCTTCTCCTCCTTCTCCTCCTTCTCCTCCTCCCTTTCCTTTCTCATCCTTCTCTTCCTCTTCCTCCTCCCTTTCCTTCTTTCTTATCCTCCTTCTTCTCCTCCTCTTCCTCACTTTCCTTCTCCTTCTTCTCCTCCTCCCTTTCCTTCTCTCCTTCTCCTCCCCTTCCTTCTCTTCTCCTTCTTCTCCTTCTCCTCCCTTTCTCATCCTTCTCCTTCTTCTCTTCCTCCTCCCTTTCCTTCTTTCTCATCCTTCTCCTTCTTCTCCTCCTCTTCCTCCTCCCTTTCCTTCTCCTTCTCCTCCCCTTCCTTCTCTTCTCCTTCTTCTCCTTCTCCTCCATTTCCTTCTCTCCTCCTCCCTTTCCTTCTCTTCTCCTCCTCCTCCTCCCTTTCCTCTTCTTTCTTCTTCTCCTCCTCCTCCCTTTCCTTCTCTCCTTCTTCTCCTTCTCCTCCCCTTCCTTCTCTTCTCCTCCTTCTCCTCCATTTCCTTCTCTCCTCCTCCTCTTCCTCCTCCTTTTCCTTCTCTTCTCCTCCTCCTCCTCCTCCCTTTCCTTCTCTTCTTTCTTCTTCTCCTCCTCCCCTTCCTTCTCTTCTCCTTCTTCTCCTTCTCCTCCATTTCCTTCTCTCCTCCTCCTCTTCCTCCTCCCTTTCCTTTCCTTCTCTTCTCCTCCTCCTCCTCCTCCTCCCTTTCCTTCTCTCCTTCTCCTCCCTTTCCTTCTCTCCTCCTCCTTCATTTCCTTCTCTTTGTCATCCTTCTCCTTCTCCTCCTCCTCTTCCTCCTCCCTTCTCTTCTCCTTCTTCTCCTTCTCCTCCTCCTCCCTTTCCTTCTCTCCTCCTTCTCCTTCTCCTCCTCCTACCCCCAAACCCCACTCCCTTCTAGAACTGAAGACGTAGGTAGGAAACATCTGCAAGAAAACCACCCAGCTCAGAGAGCACCAACAACCTTACAGTCCTCCTCCTCCTCCTCCTCCTCCCTCCTCCCCACAAACCCCGCTTCCTTCTAACACTGACGATGTTACCTAGTCTGGTGATAAAACGTCTGCAAGAACACAACCAAACTCAGAGAGCACCAAGGACCACACAAGGTTTTCAAGTTTTAGAAAGGAGCTGGGGGTCCAGTCCTCCCCTTCTTTGTCCCACTCACCATGTACCACTGTTTATGGAACCATGGATCGGTGGGGACAATGGTGGCTGTTCTCTTTGTCCGCCTCTTCAGCACCTGCTGTTCAAACCACGGGATCTAGAGCCAAAACCGTTGAGGTTAAATCAAAGTAAACAATCTTATTGCATTCTTTGACCAAGTGACAAAATTAGTGGATCAGAGGAGTGCTGTGGACATAATTTACTTGGACTTCAGTAAGGCATTTGATAAAGTAGATCACAACCTACTACTTGACAAGATAGAAAAATGTGGGGTAGACAGAACCACCACCAGATGGATCCGTAGCTGGCTGACTGACCGTACTCAGCGAGTGGTCCTCAATGGAACTGCATCTATATGGAGGGAAGTGTGTAGTGGGGTGCCCCAGGGCTCTGTTCTGGGCCCAGTGCTCTTCAACATCTTCATCAACGATTTGGACGAAGGGATAGATGGGGAACTCATCAAATTTGCAGATGACACCAAGCTGGCAGGAATTGCCAACACTCCAGAAGACAGGCTTAAGATACAGAAGGATCTGGACAGACTTGAACACTGGGCACTAACTAACAAAATGAAATTCAATGGTGAAAAAAGCAAGGTTCTACATTTAGGCAAGAAAAACCAAATGCACAAGTACAGCATAGGTGGCACAATGCTCAATAGTAGTAACTGTGAGAGGGATCTCGGAGTCCTAGTGGACAATCACCTAAATAGGAGCCAGCCATGTGCTGCAGCTGCCAAAAAGGCCAACACAGTGCTAGGCTGCAATTAACAGAGGGATAGAATCAAGATCACGTGGAGTGCTAATACCACTTTACAAGGCCTTGGTAAGGCCACACTTGGAATACGGCATCCAGTTTTGGTCACCACGATGTAAAAAAGATGTTGAGACTCTAGAAAGAGTACAGGGAAGAGCAACAAAGATGATTAGGTGACTGGAGGCTAAAACATACAAGGAACGGTTGCTGGGATTGGGTATGTCTAGTTTAACGAAGAGAAGGACGAGGGGGGACATGATAGCAGTATTCCAATATCTCAGGGGCTGCCATAAAGAAGAGGGAATTAAGCTATTTTCCAAAGCACCTGAAGGCAGGACAAGAAGCAACGGGTGGAAACTTCTTGGCCATAGTTCCCCCATGCTGGCTGAGGAATTCTGGGAGTTGAAGTCCACAAGTCATAAAAGGGCCAAGTTTGAAGACCCTTGTGATAGACAAAAAGAAGGGAAGGGGTTGACAGAGTAAGGGGGGGGGGAACACACACACACACACACACACACACACACACACACACACAATGAAAAGAGGAAGAAAACAGATGTGTCACCTGGGGTCGAGTGATATGAGAAACAGGTGGGGAGGGAGGACAGGTAAGGTTGCATTTTTTTAGATTGTGCCAGAGCGGTCAATACTAGCAGAAAAGAGGCGAGAGGGCAAACTCTGAAAGTGTGAATAGCCAGAGCAATCCAATATGGTCTAAGTCAGGGGTAGGCAACCTTGGCTCTTTTATGACTCGTGGACTTCAACTCCCAGAATTCCTCAGCCAGCCTGGCTCAGCTTGGAAACCTCTCCCTTTCCTCTCAGCGTGGCTGGCTCAGGAATTCTGGGAGTTGAAGTCCACCAGTCATAAAAGAGCCAAGGTGGCCTACCCCTGGTCTAAGTATTATGCAATTGGCGGGGGGGGGTCAGACTAGAGGGCCTTCAGGAGACCCTCTTGTCTATGGGCTTACCTGATGGTCTCTGTTCAGGCGGAGATGCCACCCCCGGTGCTTGGTTAAAGATTTCTGAGCCATGCCTCTGTGTTTCAGATGGAAGTAGGGCTCTCCAGCAATCACCTGCATGCAGAAGGGCAGAGTTTTATCCCAGCTTCGCCAGGAAAAGGAGTAGAGTAGGAATGCAGAATAGAATAGAATAGAATAGAACAGAACAGAATAGAATAGAATAGAATAGAATAGAATAGAGAAAACAAAAATACAGAATAGAATAGAATAGAATTCAGAATGAATAGAATAGAATAGAATTCAGAATGAATAGAATAGTGTAGAATTCAGAATGAATAGAATAGAATTCAGAATGAATAGAATAGAATAGAATTCAGAATGAATAGAATTTAGAATGAATAGAATAGAATTCAGAATGAATAGAATAGAATATAGAATTCAGAATGAATAGAATAGAATTCAGAATGAATAGAATTCAGAATGAATAGAATTCAGAATGAATAGAATAGAATTCAGAATGAATAGAATATAGAATTCAGAATGAATAGAATAGAATTCAGAATGAATAGAATTCAGAATGAATAGAATAGAATTCAGAATGAATAGAATAGAATATAGAATTCAGAAAGAATAGAATAGAATTCAGAATGAATAGAATTCAGAATGAATAGAATAGAATAGAATTCAGAATAGAATAGAATATAGAATTCAGAAAGAATAGAATTCAGAAAGAATAGAATAGAATTCAGAATGAATAGAATAGAATAGAATAGAATAGAATAGTAGCTGGAAGGGACCTTAGAGGTCTTCTAGTCCAGCCCCCTGCTGAAGCAGAGAGATGGAGGAAAAACTTGGCTAAAATGTGCCTCTAGGATAGCATATCTCATCCATGGCCACTTTGAGACAGTGGACTTCGATTCCCAGAATTCCCCAGCCAGCAGTGAGTTGAAGTCCACGTAGCTGAAAGTTATGAAGGTGGACAGATTTTTTAAAAATGGCCTAATTGCTGCCAGAACGGTATTAACACCTGTGCAGAACTAAAATGGCTTCTCCTCAATCTTCTGCAATATGGCTTCCTTCCACCCCACCCCACCCCACCCCAGGCCTCTAGTTGATTCCTTTGGATTTCCAAAGCCCTCTTTCTCTTACAGACTGCAAAATAAGCAAAGAGCCTCTTGGATCATAAGAGGAAAAATCACTTGGGATCTGCTTCCTCTTCTTTTCCCCCCCCCCCCCCCCCGAAACCATCTCTCTCTGGGATCTGCTTTCCCAGGCCTGATTGCATATCTTTCAAAATAGATCCCATTAATCTGATTAAGCAGGAGATGGCCTGGTTTTTAAGGAGGAGGAGGAGGAGCAAATAGTTTAACAGAAATGATGCAAGACCTCTGCATTGCAAGACTCGGTTCTCACCCTCTGGAAATAGAAAGGATGGGCAGCGTATCAATTTAATAATAATAATAATAAAAATAATAATAATATTGGACTTGATAGGTAGACAGGAATGCCCCAAATCCAGTCTGAACACCTGGCGGACTGTGCGACAAACCAAAATAAAATAATAAACAACATTTGATGCATTGGTGTCTCACAATATTTTCAGGTTTATCCATTCAGTAAAAACCTTCCCTTGCCAGGGGGACCCCTAATGTGACCCCCCACACACACACACATACATACATACATACATACATACAGCTTATACAATGCATACATGCATGCATACACCCACAGGCTCCATGCAAGCAAGGAATTCTTGCAGTGTTTGCTTTTTCTGCTGGTTGCAAGATGGGTTGGGGGTCTCCATGTCCCATCCTGGGGCTCCGCGCTTCAGAAAAGCCCCCTGGCACCTGCCCCCAACTCAGAAAGAACCGAGGTGGCGCAGCAGTTAGAGTGCAAGTACTGCAGGCCACTTTAGCTGACTGTGTTCAGCAGGTCAGCGGTTCAAATCTCACCGGCTCAAGGTTGACTCAGCCTTCCCTCCTTCCGGGGTAGGTCAAATGAGGACCCAGAGTGTTGGGGGCAATGTAAATATATATATATACATTGCTTACTGGTGTACACCGCTTAGAGAGTGCTCGCACTTAAAGCGGTATATAAGTCTCATAAATAAATAAATAAACCCCCATGAAGGCTAGAAACGGGGCTACAGCCCCCCCCAGTACCAATTCCCCCTTCTCTCAAAAGATTAAATTTAAATTAAAGCCCCCCCAATAGAACAAAAAAAGCTTTCCTAACTGAAGGTGCGACCCTTTTTGGGAGGGGGGGAACCACAGAGAATGAAGAGTCCATCAGAGGCTTCCTGACTAAGTGGAGCCTCCACGTTCAGGAGCAGTCTATCTTGGAGTGCTGGCACACGGGGGGGGGGCTGTCCAAAGGGTGGGGGGGCCGCTAGGGGAGGGCGGAAGGAGGCCTGATAATGTCCGTCTGGCTCCATAATACGAACCCAGGACCTTTTCGGACGCCTAAGAAAAGCCTCAAACCCCCCCCCCAAAAAACAAGCCATGTTCCTTTGATGGAGCCTCCAAGAGCAGGGGCAGTCTACCCACTGACATAGAAAACGTGAGGCAAGGTGAGGGGTAAGTGGGAAAGGCTGGGGAGTTGCTGTTTTTTTCTGCACTCTACGTATGCTCAGAGGCTATCTCGCTGCCTTCAAGCAGGCCCTTGCCAGCCCTTCCCAGGACCAGGAAGGGCGACGCACCTGGCCCAGGTAGAGCAGCCCGTGCCTGCGGGCCAGGCGCTGGGCCTCTTGGGCGCCGCTAGGGACGCGCACGGCCCAGCTGCTCAGGTAGATGCTCGCGGCGCTGGAGGCTCCACCGCAGAGCAGCAGCAGCAACAGCAGCATCCAGACGCCCATTTCGGCTCCCCGCACGTCTTCCCCCCGCTCAAGAGCCACGGGCCGGGCCGGCGGGAGAGCCCGGCCCCTTATACATCAACGCGGCCTAGGGCCCCTTCGAAGCCTGGGCCTCGATTTGCACACCAGCGCTGCCTTCGGGACACGCGGAGCGGCCAGGCGCGCTCCATGTGTTCGGAGGCGCCTGGTTGCCATGGCGACGGGAAGCCAAGGCGGGAGATTGGGGATTATCGGGCCGGGTGGCGCTGCGGGAAAACGAGCGCGGGGGGGGGGAAAAGGAGGGTTGGCCGCAAGGGCTCCTGGGAGTTGTGGTTCCTGCTGAAAGATGCCTCTGTGATAGAACCAGGCTTAATTAACAAGGGATTATCTTAATTTTTTTTCTGTTATCCACTAAAAGCCCAAGGGTTCTAACAAGGGAAGGCCAGGCCCAGTTTAATCACCATTTTAGTGAGACCTAATAGACTTTCATTGTAATGGACCACCACCGTCACCCATCTCTTCCTTTATGAGTTGAAAGGGGAGGAGCTCCTTGGGATGGGAGACCACGAAGAAATCCCGAAGCGCTAGACTAGATTAGAAACAACCCCAGAAAAAGCAGAGATAAACTGGGTGTGCCAAAAAACTGTCCATGAAGTTGTTTGGAACGTGGCTCAAGAGCCCAAAACAAACAAACTCACGTGGAATTCCAGCCACAGTTTTATTTGGAAAAGAAGCATTTGTAAAGGCTTGGTGAGCTGAAGCACACTTAGGAGTCCAGCCACACCTTAAAGAGCTGTTTGACACATTTTTATATCCCAACCCCCCACACGCAGATTCCCCCCCCTCTCCTATCGCACTCAACGCCCCTTCCCTAATCAATCGATAAACTATCCAGACAGCCTAAAACCACTGTCCTTCCCATGTTCCAGGAAGCCCCTTTGTGCACATCCTATCTATCACCATCTAATTTTCTATTAACAAAGCTCAATTCTTATAATTATCTCTATATTTGTTTGCAGTTATACCTTTGCTACCTTAAGCTCTAAACCTTATCCTACTTGCAGTTTCAGTTAGCTAGCAACTTGTTTTTTTTATTTGTATATAGTTAACTTGTTTGAGTTTATGACTTTCTGGTGGCTTCTCCTATAGACCTTTAGATTCATTAGAAATTTCTGATTAATAATCTGTTCCTTTCAAAGTGACCAGGAAACACATGGATTCGTTTGGAAAGAGATTTTATAGTTTATTCCCCACATGTAAAGTAGCACAGAGTTTTCTAGATAAATCTAGGTTGTTCAGATTGGAAATAACTTAAAATACATTAAAAAAAACCTACCCACTTTTCTATTTAAGAAAAAAGTGGTGTGCTGTTCTAAAACCAATGAACCCTTGGCCATATTTATTTTATAATATCTGTAAAAATACAACTCCTGGGCATATTTATAAATAAAATAAAATAAATAAAAATAAATAATATACAACCACCAGGGGGATCCAAGTAAGGAAATATTTTACTAAAACCAAGCTTTTGTTGGGAACTCTCAACATCATCAGGGCTAAAAGCCAGTTAACAAAGATGACTTAAATAGGTTTAGCTGACATTTGCACTCGGCTCTTAGACCGCGTCACCGGCCCTAGCCGGTCAATTTGTATTCCAGATGTTTCCTTGATATTTGTATTGCGTTCTCTTCTCTCGTTCTTTCAGACCTTCTTACCTGCTCTTTCATTGTCAATACTTGGGTTTGTCAACACCCTTATAGCACCCTTATAGGGCCGGTGACATGGTCTAAGAGCCGAGTGCAAATGTCAGCTAAACCTATTTAAGTCATCTTTGTTAACTGGCTTTTAGCCCTGATGATGTTGGGAGTTCCCAACGAAAGCTTGGTTTTAGTAAAGTATTTCCTTACTTGGATCCTCCTGGTGGTCGTGTGTGTGTGTGTGTGTGTGTGTGTGTGTGTGTGTGTGTATTTTTCAAGTTAGAAATTGATCTCCCAACCTCTGCCCTTAAACCAGCATACAAAGAATTAATTTGCAAGGCTTGTTTTCTTAAGCTTCAGGGAAACCCGGTGATCTGTGGCAATTGGGTTCCAAGAAGCAGAATGCCAACTTTAATTGATATTCTGGGAGGCCCCATTATAGGTAAGAGAGCCTAAGTGCAGATGGGAGGCTTGGCTTACTTCCTTGAGGGCGCTGCAGAGATCGTGGCTTGGAGCAAGGCCCACTGCTCAACAGAAAATAGTGTGCTCTTCCCTCTAAAAAAGCTGCCCGTACACACCTATTTATTCATTGTAGAGGATTTTTACGCAACTGTTGGGAAAGGCGAAACTCTGAAAAACCACATCAAGATGCACCTCCGCCTTCAATCCCATCTGCTTAGAGAGAGGTGTGTGTGTGTAAGCCGTAACTTGCAAACTCACGGTGAGATGAAGCTTTTTTAAAATCCAATTAACCTGAGAAATCAGAAACCCCTTTTCCAATGGGTCAGCGGCAGCAAAGAGGTAATAGGGCAAAGGGCCTCCTGTTCTTTTAAATAATGTTTGAATGCTGGGGGGGGGGGGAATTAATTTTTTTGTTTGTTTTGTTTTTATTTATTTTGTATTTTTAAAAAACTTTTCAACCTATTTGTCCAGCTCAAATCACATCCTGACCTAATAAGAGAATATCATAATAACAGAGTTGGAAGGGACCTTGGAGGTCATCTAGTCCAACCCCCTGCTCAGGGAGGAAACCCTATACCATTTTGGACAGATGGCTGTCCAGTTTCTTCTTAAAAACTTCCAGTGTTGGAGTATTCACTGCTTCTGGAGGCAGGTTGATCCACCGGTTAATTGTTCTCACTGTCAGGAAGTTTCTCCTTAGTTCTAGGTTGCTTCTCTCCTTGGTTAGTTTCCACCCGTTGCTTCTTGTCCTGCCTTCAGGCGCTTTGGAGAATAGCTTGACTCCCTCTTCTTTGGGGAAACCCCTGAGATATTGGAAGACGGCTATCATGTCCCCCCTCGTCCTTCTCTTCATTAAACTAGACATCCCCAATTCCAGCAACCGTTCCTTATATGTTTTAGCCTCCAGTCACCTAATCATCTTTGTTGCTCTTCTCTGTATTGTTTCTAGAGTCTCAACATCTTTTTTCCATCGTGGTGACCAAAACTGGATGCAATATTCCAAGTGTGGTCTTACCAAGGCCTTGTAAAATGGTATTAACACTTCACGTGATCTTGATTCTATCCCTCTGTTAATGCAGCCCAGCACTGAGTTGGCTTTTTTGGCAGCTGCAGCTTAGAGCCTGGATTTACATGACACACAGGGGAAAAACCTGAGACAATTGCATTGTTCGACAATAGAAGAGAATAGAATTCTTTATTGGCCAAGTGTGATTGGACACACAAGGAATTTGTCTCCGGTGCATAAGCTCTCATTGTACATACAAGCAATAGGGATAAATCATAATCACAATCAATATAAAGAATACATTCATCACCAATCATAAGATATAACGGCAGCCAGATTACTGGCTCCAATCCTACAATGCAGGGGGATCTTCAAACTTGGCCCTTTTATGACTTGTGGACTTCAGCTCCCAGAATTCATCAGTGCCTGGCTGAGGAATTCTGGGAGTTGAAGTCCACAAGTCATAAAAGGGCCAAGTTTGAAGGCCCTTGCTATAATGCAATCAATTTATTCTATTTGAAAATAATTCCAGCTGAGTTTAGTGGCTAACGATCCTGGTTATTGACAGCTGTAGGCTGTTTTAACCTTGATGTTTAGAAGAGGTTGGTTTTTTTTAGGGGGGGGGGGTTACTCTTAACTTCATAAGCACCAGGTGATGTCCAGTTTCAACAATCTGATGCCAAGCATTAGATGCTCACAAACAGGCCCCAAAGAATTTGAGGAGACTTGCAATCAAGACAAGGAGATTTTGGCCGGTAAGCCTCAAAAACAAAACAAAACAATTCAGTAACGCATCAAGAAGGACCCAACTTTTTAACAATGGAGTAAGTCTCCATTCACCTGTTCCTTCAGCACTAATTTGTTGCTTTTGATAACATCCAAGGAGAAGCTTTTTTTTTAAGAATCCCAAAATTCAGTTGCTAAGTGAGGCAGTTGTGAATCTTGCTCCATATTGTGACCTTTCACGACCATACATACAAAGTGAATCACTGCTTCCCCACTGACTTTGCTGGTCGCAAAAGGGGATCATGCGATCCTGGGACACTGGGACCGTCATAAATATGAACCAGTTGTCAAGCATCATGGGATACCAAAATTCAGATGCTTGGCAGCTGGTTCATATTTTTATGAATGTCGCTGTGTCGCAAAGTCACGTGATCCCCTTTTGCGAGTCTGAAAAGCAAGGTCCATGGAGGGAAAAAAAAAAAAAAGATGCTGAGACTCTAGAACAGTGTTTCTCAACCTTGATAATTTTAAGGCATGTGGACTTCAACTCCCAGAATTCCACAGCCAGCAATGCTGGCTGTGGAATTCTGGGAGTTGAAGTCCACATGCCTTAAAATTGTTAAGGTTGAGAAACACTGCTCTAGAAAGAGTGCAGAGAAGAGCAACAAAGATGATCAGGGGACTGGAGGCTAAAACATATAAGGAATGGTTGCTGGAATTGGGTCTGTCTAGTCCAGGGGTAGGCAACCTTGGCTCTTTTATGACTCGTGGACTTCAACTCCCAGAATTCCTGAGCCAGCATAGGGGAAACTATGGCCCCTTCATACTTCTGGACTTCAACTCCCAGAATTCCTGAGCCAGCATAGGGGAAACTATGGCCCCTTCATACTTCTGGACTTCAACTCCCAGAATTCCTCAGCCAGCAGGGCTGAGCTTGGAAACCTCTCCCTTTCCCCTCAGCATGGCTGGCTCAGGAATTCTGGGAGTTGAAGTCCAGGAGTCATAAAAGAGCCAAGGTCCCCCATCCCTGGTCTAGTTTAATGAAAAGAAGGACCAGGGCTGACATGATAGCAGCCTTCTGGGGCTGCCCCAAAGAAGAGGGAGTCAAGCTCTTCTCCAAAGCCCCTGAAGGCAGGACAAGGAGCAACGGGTGGAAACTGACCAAGGAGAGAAGCAACCTGGAACTAAGGAGAAATTTCGGGACAGTTATAACAATTAACCAGTGGAACAACCTGCCTCCAGAAGCGGTGAATGCTCCAACACTGGAAGTGTCTGAAATGGTAGAGGGTTTTCTGCCTGA